CTGCCACGTTCTATAAATAATAGAAGTTGTTAATGAAAATGTGTGGAGGTTGCTAATGCAGTGTACTCAAGCACACTATCAACTGCCTTCTAGGGTAGACGATTTTTTCCTCTCTTTGGTAAACTGGACAGTCACAGGATTATTCTGTAAAATTACCTATCAGGCCAGTCTAGGGATAAAATTAGCAAGAAGCCAGGAGTCTATCAGACAGTAATCAGGTTGGAGTTTACCCATTCTCTTCAAGGACACTGGAGACGATGTTGCTGGAGAGGAGAGCAGTTTATCTGAAATTCCCATATCTGGCTTGCTAGTTTCCACACTTCAGGTCAACTGGACCTCTTCCACATTCCTGTAATCCCTAACATCCAGGAGAACAGAACGTGCTCCTATACAGATCTCAGACTCTTGATTTGGTAGTCACATAGCTCAGTAACAGCATGTATTTCAGCATTTGGTGGCCTATGTTCACGTTATCTCCGCTGCTTCTGAGTTATATGACCTTAGGTAAGTTTTTCCAGCTACTGTTTCCTCTTCTATAAAATAGGGATGGATGATGAAGACAATGTTACAATAGTTGTCACTACCTGGGACACCATCATTATGTATCAAAGTTTTAGTCCTGGTTCTGCTTTCAATGCCAATTTCCTGCTAATGCATAGCTGGAAGGCAGGTGACGGTTTCAGTACTTAGGTCCCTGCCACCATGAGGAAGACATGGACTGAGTGATCAGCTTCAGAAGTCTAGCTCTGGTCACTGTGAGCATCTGGAGAGTAAACCAGTGGATAGCAGCCCTCTACATGTGCTCAATAAGTAAACAGGTAAGTAGTATGGTTATAACAGTACCTGCCTCATAAGAGCAGGATGAGGATTAAATTACCGGGGTCCTAATAAATATGTATTATTACTTACTATTATTAGTGCCAATTCCTCTCACTGACTCATTATCTAATGGATAATAGTTTATCAAATTTTTCACTAAAATTCTTATAAATACATTTATTCCACCCCATCATTGTTTTCTTTAATCCTATCATATCCTAAAATAAACTTTATTCAGTAATGAAACAAACTTTTAAATAGCTAGAGTAAGAATGAATCAATAATACTAGTCCACAGGAATAAAAAAAAGGAAAACAAGAATTTGTAATTTCAAGTATCAGCCTAGGAAAGCTCAGGATAAATAAACCAGAAATTCTAGTACATGACTACTGCCATATCAGAGTAATGTAAATGCTGTGTAACGTTATGCTAAGCAAACAAAGAGAAAAGGACTATACAAGAAACTATTTCTGACCTGGACTTCTACCAGAAAGACTCAGGATAAACTCTTCAGCCCCCAAAACCTATGAACACACATCTAGTGAAGAACAACACATCATGCTGTGACTATCAACTCTAACATGTTTACAGCAGACCTCTTAACTCTATTTTCCAGCCTTCCATACGCCAAACAACATCAGTCCACGTGCATGTGACTAACGTCAAAACTGAGAAGTCATCTTTTTCTTTTTCATGATTTCCAACTACTCCATCAGCAAGCCACATCAGTTCTATCTCCAAACTCTTCTCTGCATTTTTTTCACCACTGCATTCGTCCAAAACCCACCAACTCCCACCTAGATTTCTACTACACAATCTCCCACTGGTCTTTGTGCTTCCTCTGTAGCTCTCTTCAGTATATTCTATACATTGAAATTAGTCTGAAATGAGATTCTCCCAGTGCAATTACCAAAAATAAAAATAAAGCAAAAACTTATTAAGGATCTAGATTATCTGACTCCTGCTTAAATTATCAAGTATTCTTAGTTCGTTAACTCATATACTTTTTAAAAATTTTATTTATTTTTATTGGAAAAGGTATTCAGAGAGGAAGAGAGACAGAAAGGAAGATCTTTTATCTGCTGATTCACTCCCCAAGTAGCAGCTAAGACCGGACCTGAGTTGATCCGAAGCCAGGAGCCAGGAGCCAGGAACCTCCTCCACATCTCCCACGGCTCTGGGCCCTCCTTGACTGCATTCCCAAGCCACAAGCAGGGAAGCTGGATGGGAAGCTGGATGGGAAGCTGGATGGGAAGCGGAGCTGCCGGGATTAGAACCAGCGCCCATACGGGATCCTGGGTGTGCAAAGCAAGGACTTCAGCCACTAGGCTACCATGCCAGGCCCACTCATACACTTTTAAAATTATTTTTGCACAATCTAGCTGCTGCAAAATTCTGGATGTTTGTATTCCCCATCAATTCATACAGTGAAGTCATTAACTCCTCAAAAATCATAAGAGCTACAGCCTTTGGGAACATACTTTGTTGCCCTATAAAAGGGGTCTGAGAAAGTTCCCTCACCTCTTCTAACACACTGAGGACCCAGCATAAAGATGCCATATGTAACTAAGAAAAGAGCCCCTCACCACACTCCACATCTGGTGAGGCCACAATCCCAGATATCACAGCCTCCAGAGGGGTAAGAATTAAGTTATTGCTATTTGTAAGCCACCCCAGTTTGATAAAGCAGCCCAAAAGACTAAGACATGTGCCAATGTCATCACTTCAAGGCTCTGCCTTTGCTTTTCCTGGGTCAAGAGGATTCTCTCCTCCAGCTCCTTCTGGGTGGCTCCTTCCCACCCTTGACTCTTCGGCTGAAATGTCACAGTCTTCCCTGACTCCTGAATTAGAGCAGCCTTTCTTTCAGCTACTCTCTCCTTACGCTATCTGCATTTACCACCACGGCAACTTACACCATTTACTTGTCCAATTATTTATTCTCTGTCTTTCCCAAAGAGAACATAAACTTCAAGAGATGAAGGCTCCTGCCTTGTTTATAATCCCTAAAAATTGATAAGTGCTCAGTACAAAGTTGGGCCTTAATAAAATATTTTCAAAATAATTGTTGTGACAGGCTGAGCTGGGCTGGGCAAGGCTAGGCGCAGCCGTCGCCAATTCACTTAAGAGGAGGCTGGGGGCAGAATCAACCAGGCAGCTGCATCCACGGGTATGTGTTTTTGCTGAACCAAATCAGACCCTGCACTGACTGGTGCATACGAGAATCAAGTCTGAGGTCACCCCAAGTGAAATTTCTTGGGGGACTCGCCAACTAGGTCGCTGGACCCAAATCCTGGCCACAGAGAAAATGACAATACGTGGCCCAACCTTGGAAAGCACGTATAGGGATTGGGCCTCCTTTGCTGCTGAATCCTGTACAATGGACGGCATGCCCAGACGCACACAGGGAACATGACAAGCAGATTATCTAAGTCAGCACAGAATATCAAGTACATCATCAGAGGATAGAAAGCAGAACAGTTTGGACAACTCTCCTGGGGAAGCTTGGCACAAAGTATATAGGTCTATGGATGCACACTGAGGTGGACTTGTTCAGCCAACAGACCTTAAAAAGATTTCAATCCTGGTGCAATGAAGCTGACGACATCTCATAACTATCAAAACCACTCAAGTAACGCCCTTGGAATATTCTTCTCCACACTGAAGTCTTTAAGGCATCATCATATGGTTGCATCCCCAGTGATGACATAGTTGGATAGCAAACAGCAGTCCCCATCCCACTCTTTCCCCATCCCTGCCCTTGCCAGCAGACCAGGAAGGAGAAAAGAAAAGAAAAGAAAAGGAAAGAAAAGAAAAGAAAAGAAAAGAAAAGAAAAGAAAAGAAAAGAAAAGAAAAGAAAAGAGAAGAGAAGAGAAGAGAAGAGAAGAGAAAAGAAAAGAAAAGAAAAGAAAAAAATAAACAGGGCACAGCACAGTAGCCAAGTAGCTAAAGTTCTCCCCTTGCAAGTGCCAGGGATCCTATATGGGCATTGGTTCATATCCTAGCTGCTCCACTTCCCATTCAGCTCCCTGTTTGTGTCTTAGGAGGATAGCCCAAGGCCTTGCCACTCTGGACCCACATGGGAGACCCAGAGGAAGCTCCTGGCTCCTGATCAGCTCAGCTCTGGCCACTACAGTCATCTGGGGAGTGAACCAGGGTTTGGAAGAGCTTCCTCTCTGTCTCTCCTTCTCTCTCTAAAATCTGACTTTTCAATAAAAAATAATAAATAAATCTTAAAAAAAAAAAAAAGAAACATTTGTCCCATCTACCTTCCTCCATATCTTGACCCTCCCTATCCTAAGTGGAGGCCAACATGGGCATGCATCCCTCTTAATTATGTAAACAATATTTTAAATAAAATGAAAAATTTTAAAACTAAGAAAACAATAAATGTTGATGATTCAAATACATTTCAATGATAAATAGGAGTCACAAGCAACTGTGAAGAGATTCATGAATAAATGAATAGTAAATAAAAGCAAACTAGAAATTTCTTCTAGGAAGCATGACTATAAAACAGAAAACCAGAGCAAAAGTTGAAAGATGATGAATACTGTGAGAAATCCTTTCAAAAGAAGAAACACTCATCTCTAATTCTCTTTATATCAAGGACTCCTTTCAGAAACCAACAAAAACCCTAGCTCCAGGTCTCAGGGAAATATGAACACTGCACATACAAAACTTTACAATTTGGGAGAGGTGGAGGTATTTTAGAACTCCCTAAGGTAAGATCCTTGGACCTTTAAATGTCAGTTGAGTATGCCTTACAGTATTTTTTTTTCAATTTTTATTTATTTATTTATTTGAAGGAGTTACGAGAGGGAGGCAGAAGAAGAGAAACTTTCCATCTGCTGGTTCACTCTCAAATTGCCAAAAGGCCAGGGCTGAGTTGGCTGCAGCCAGGAGCTTCCTCCAGACTAAGGCATCCACCACTGCTTTCCCAGGGGCTGCAGCAGAAAGCCAAGCACCCAGGACATGCACTGGTGCCCACAAGGGATGCCTGCATCGCAGCAGTAGCTTCACCCACCACCACACAATGCCAGCCCCAGCCCAACAGTATTAAGATTCCTAAGACACAGGTTAATGTTGATTGACAGAAAGACAGATGATTAATTACCTAATTAATATGAGTAATGCTAACTGACCAAGAAAGACAGCTGAGAAAACCTGGGTCAAGCATGCACTGTGTCTGAGATAAAAAGGCAGACAGTGTTACAATACAGAGAAGATTAGCACGGCCCCTGCACAAGATGACAAGCAAAGAGAGAGAGAAATAAATTATTAAAAAAAAAAAAACCTCATGGCAATGTCATTCGTAATTGCCAAGAACTGTAAAAAGGACTTGATGTCCACCAAAAATGCAGCATTTTAATTGTGATAAGCCCTTACAACAGAAGGCTACACAGCAAACCAACTACAAGCAAGAGTAAATCTTAAACATGTACAGAAGAAGGAATCACAAGAAGGGACTAACTACAATTGTATTAAGTTAAAAACAAAGCCAAACTAAACACGCTAATATATGTATGGTCTCAACCTGTAACAAACTATAAGAAAAAGCAATCTTACTAGTTGAGATAGTGGCTACCTCTGGGGAGAGAAAGGGGTGAACACCACCTGCTGTGATGGCCTCTGCATACAGAGTTTTAAAACTACAGCATCCTAAAACCGGTTGAAACAGCTGAAAAAGACAGAAGAACCCAGAGGACTTCGATCCCTGATTTGTGTTCTGAACAACATACAGTGATTTTCTTCAGAAAGTTAACAAATGGGCTACCTTCCGGGACTAACATTAAATATTGCCGCGCAAAGGATTTAAAGTAAATGTCATTATGTATTCATTAAAAACCAATAAAGTCAATTTTTGGCTGACTGGGACTTTAGGATTTAGTCAACAATATCTTGGCAGAGAAGGGCTAGAATGGAAGAAGAAAAAATGCTGGGACACGGTCATCCATGCAAACTTTCCCAAAGCCGCAATTATTGACTATATTTGTGGAGAAAGAAAAAAAAAATCCAGACAGTCGTATTGTTAAGCATTTTCGGCATCAAGTCTATGATCAATCAGTTGCCAATTTAAATCCCAAAATTAGTTTCCGAGCAAAAGCCAGTTTATCCTGCCTTTGCTGTGTTATATGAGGTATATAATTTCTGAGATTTTTCATGCAAACGCCTACGTGATCTCGGCCCTTGGCCTCCCTAAATCTTCACAGATCCTGAAGGGAGGCTGAGAGGCAAGGCTGAACCTCCCCACCTCGGACTTCCCCTCAGCTGCACTACAAAGTTTCCAAACAAAACAGTGTCCCGGACAACCCAGCCGGAGCGCGCCCGCAAGCGAAGCGGTCACCATAGGGACTAGAGTCCAGACAACCAAGACGAGGTTTGTTCCTGGAGGGCTTCCCGGGCCCGCCGCCCTGCCCACCCTGCCCGCCGCACGCCCCTCAAAGCGGCTCCAGGTCACCCCCCGACCCCCACGCCCATGACACTCGCCCTCCTGCAGCCCGGGACCTTCGGCTCCAGCAGGGGCTTCACCCCAAAGCCGGCGCACCTCCGTGGCTTCTCCCTGGCGTTCCGGGTCCCTCCCAGGACTTGTCCGCCCGGCGTCCTCCGCGGAGCTCATCCCGACGACCGCCAGGTTTCTGCCTCAGCCGGCCAAGCAGGGCCCTCCCGGTCTCCATCCTCCGCCCCTTTCTCCTCCCCTTCCCACACCCCCCAAAAAACGACCCGGCCCCGCCCAGGACCGGGGTCGGGGGAAGGAGGGACCCCGCGGTAAGCGGGCGTGGGCGGTTAGCGCCGGCGGGATCCGCCCTCGGGCCCGCCCTTCACGCTCTGTACCTGAGGCGGGCTCGTCTTCCACCTCAGCGGCGCCTCCGCTCCGCTTCCGTCCCACGCGCCTCCAGCCCCCGTGCGCACGCGTCCCTGGCTCGACCCTTCCTCTCAAAAGCGCTACAGGCCGTGCGCGCGCAGCTACGCACCGAGCGACGCGTACTTCCACCTGTCTGCCTTACAGGGCGCCGGGGAGAGGCGTCTTCGTGGCCTCTCCGCGCCGCGCAGGCGCACGCCCACGCAGCGCCCAGCTGCCGGCCGGAGCGTCCCGTCTCCTAGTAACCAGGCGCGAGCCCCCGACTCCCAGACGTCTTTCCGACCCGCTAGCCCACCTGGATGTGACGCGCATGCGCAGGCGTGTCTCGCCGCCCCGCCTTGGCTCAGCCTGGAGCACCTGCTGCTTCCCGGCTGTGCTTTTCTCTGCCAGTTGTCCCAGCGATCCGGAATGTTTTTGGGACCCGAGTTCGGTGAACCGATTACCCCTCGGAGCTGCCGTCGGCGGGGCTTCTGCCGCAGCCTACCGCCCTGTTGGAAGAAGCCTTCAGGTGGGGTTCTTCAGCCTCGGCCGAAAGGGTCAGCTCTTGCACCAAGGTCACAGTTGAATTAGGAAGTGGCAAAACTAGCCACGAAAGCCTTGGTTCCTTTCCACTGTTGCCTCCGTAAGCTGGTTCTTCTCCAAACCTGCTCTCCATAAGAACCGGGGATGTTGAAACGCAAAAGAAAAAGAAGTGCAACCGCAGTTGGTTGATATGTAATACTTGTAGCCGTTGTTTTCTGTTGAATACTATTATAAGTTATCTCAGGCTGTGACCTGAGAACACCCATCTGACTTACCCTTTTGTAGGATTTTTGGCCGTTCTGGTGTGTTAAAAATAAAGTGAAGAAAAGTAAGCATAGAATTATTCTGCCAATTTTTTTAAGAGCTCAGCTTGCATGGGGGATATTTCTTCATATTTAACATACCCCATCCTTCTTAACCCAAGAGCTTGTGAGCCATCTATTGTGACTTCATCTCCTTGCTTTTTTCTACCGATAATACAGGTAACTCAGTTTGCACAGCCGTCCTCTGATGACCTTGAGGTACAAGCCTGTGCATTTCAAAAGCAAGTTCGCGTTTGACAAAACAATTCCTGGTGAGTACTTACCACCACATACACATACATAAACCATTACTGGCAAGAATAACTTCTATGTTAGAATAGATTTCTTGATAAGAGTGCACTTAACTATGTGTTTTTTGTTTTTTTTTTTTTTTGCCAGCTGCTTGTGGCTTTCATGGGGTGTCTGTCTTTACATGACCTCATATTTTTGTAACATTGGTTTTCAGCTACCGTTTTTGTAAGTATAACTAGGTACTAGAAAGTTGAAAGTCCCTTTTTATTATTGTTGTTTTTAACTGTTTATTTGGGAGGTGGAGAGGGCTCCCATCTGCTCATTCACCCCCCAGAATGCCCGTTGGAGCCTGGGATCAAAGTGGGAGCCAGGAACACAATCTGAAATGAGACATGAGTGTACCCTTGCCTGCTAGACAAAATGTTTATTGCTTGCTAAGAGAAAATTGAGAGTTTTAAGTAAAAATGTAACTCTATGTAAGTAACAAGATAGGTGGCAAAGAGGCAGTGTATTATCAAACACCATCTTCAAAAATTACATTATGGGAATAAATGGATAATCAACTCACCTTCAGATACTGAAATTATTTTGAGTACAAGAATCTTACTAAATAGCATTGTTGAAAACTAATAGGAAAAACTATACTCATTTTAGAATGATAACATAGAATTTAAAACTTGGAGCGGATTATTAATAAAGAGAGTAGGAAAATGACAGGAAAAGTTTAGGCATTGACTGACGTATGCCACCTAGATGTCCTTGAAGATTCTTGGGGAACTTAGTATATTCTCCTAGTACCTAAAGATCATTGTTTTGTGTGTTTTGTCATCTGCTTCAGGCATGAGGATCTATCTGGCCCCTGTTTCTCCACTGTGGCTGGAAGCAAAAGTTGGCAGGTCTCTAGTCCCAGGTCCCCTGTCACCAGTTATCCCCCATAGAAGGGCTTGCAGTGCACAGATCGCTTCCAGCTGAGGAAAGCAAGCACAAGGATCCTGAGGCAGGAGAGGGGTTAGCACAGTATGTACCTGAGAAAGAGCAGTGAGGTCAGAGCAGATTAAGGAAGAGCAGAGTGCTGGCTGCTAGTTTAGCTTCCAGTTGCTGCTGTAACAATTTACCAATGACTCGGTGGCCTTAAGCAGCACAAATGCACTGTACCATAGTTCTAGAGGTTGGAAGTTCGGAAAGGTTCTTATCAGGCTAATATCAAGATGTCAGAAGGTACTCAAGTGGGAGACCTGGAAGAAGTTCCTGGCTTCTGGCTTTGGCCCAGCTCTGGTTGTAAGCCACCTGCGGACTGAACCAGTGGACTGGAAGATGTCTCTTCCCTCTCTTTCTAACTATCCACCCCACCCCAACTCTTGACTTTTAAATAAATCAGAATCGACAATGACCAGTCAAGTCCTGCTCAAGTTACCTCACCTTACTATCACCATTCCTGCCTCCCTGTTTGACTTTATAAATGAATTTGGGATTACATTGGTACCACCAAATTAATGCAGGATAATCTTTCCCACTTTAGGTAGGGTCAACTGATTAGCAACCTTAGTTCCCCCTTGCTGTGGAGGCCATCTGGGGAATTAACCACTATGTCGAAAATCTCTTTTTCTTTGTTTTCTCTCTCTTCATCACTTTTGCCTTTCAAAATAAATTTTTCTCTTTTAATTTTCTTTTTATTTGAAAGGTAGATTTTACAGAGAGAGTAGAGATAGGAAGAGAGGTTTTCCATCCCTTGTTCATTCCCCAAATGAATGCTAGAGCTGAGCTGATCCGAAGCCAGGAGCCAGGAGCTCTTCCAGGTCTCCCAGGTGAGTGCAGGGTCCCAAGGACTTGGGTCATCCTCCACTGCTTTCCCAGGCCACAAACAGGAAGTTGGATGGGAAGTGGAGCAGCTGGAACACAAACCAAGGCACATGGGATGCTGGTGCTTACCAGGTGGAGGATTATGTAGCAATGCTACCACCCTGGCCCTTTAAGTAAATAAATCTTTTCTTAGACAAAAAGACATGATTCATTGCCAAATTAGACATGAAAGACAGGTTTAGGATGACTGCTGCAGCAGTGTATAAATTTCCTGTTCTGCAGTTTTAAAATACTTGCTGTTTACCTTTGTAAAGCCTGCCATTCTGGTAGCAGTAATCTGCTATTGTGATTCCTACTAAATAAGAGTATCTCGATACATACTTAGAGGGCCCAAACCAGTGGATTATGTCCTTATATTCTTTGCCCAGTTTTCTACTAGGTCTTCATTTTTCCTTGCTAGCTTGCAGGAGTTTTTTTAGAGTCTAACTATTAAGTCACCTGTCAGCTTTAGACATGGCAAATATCTCCTTCCAGTCCATTAACCATCACTTTGTTTATGTATTTTTGCTTTATAGAAAGTATTTTGGCCCAGCACAATAGTTCAGTGGCTAAATCCTCACCTAGCAAGTGCCAGGATCCCATGTGGACTTTGGTTCGTGTCTCTGCTGTTTCACTTCCCATCCAGCTCTCTACTTATTAATTTGATGAGGAAGAAAAATTCATCTTGATATTACAAATCTAAAAAACAATTATACCTACATTTTAGAATTTCATCAAAGATCTTTTTATAGAATTAGTATAATTGGGGACAAGTGTGGTGGCTTAAAGCTGATCCTCCACTCTTTTTTTTTAAGATTTTCTTTTTTTTTTTTTTTTAATTGGAAAGTCAGATTTACAGAGAGAAGGCAATTTAGAGAGAAAGATTTTCCATCCACTGATTAACTCCCCAGGTGGTTGCAATGGCCGGAGCTGAGCCAACCCAAGCAAGGTTTTGGGCCATTCTCAACTGCTTTTCCCAAGCCACAAACAGGGAGCTGGATGGAAAGTGGTGCAGCCAGGATTAGAACCAGCATCCATATGGGATCCCAGTGGATGCAAAGCGAGAACTTAACCACTACACTAACATGGTGGGCCCTATCCTCCACTTTCAAATGCTGGCATCCCATTGGACACTGTTTGGTGTCGTGGCTATTCCGTTTCCCATCTAGCTTCCTGCTTGTGGTCTGGGAAAGCAGAGCATGGCTTAAGTCCTTGGATCTCCCCACACTGGAGAGCTAGAAGAGCTGCTAGTTCCCAGCTTCAGCTCAGCCCAGCTCTGCCTGTTGCAGCCATTGGGGAGTGACCCAACTGATGGAAAAGCTTTCTCACTATGTCTCTCCTTCTCTCTGTAAAATTGTTATTCCAATAAAATAAATAAATCTTTCCATAAAACTAGTATAATTTTATTTGATTCCCACAAGGCCAAATCATTGCTGTTGCTGTTTATCTAATTGTTAACATTTGAGGAACTACAGTATTTAGAACACTATGATAGGCTAAATAAAACACTGATGCTCAATTATAAATATGGATAAGCAGGATTTCAAGGTAATTGGGGCCTGAAGGATATAGAATTGCCAACAAAAGACACCATAGCTGGTAACTCTTAAAGAATACATTCTAGAAAGTAGATGAATGCCATGCTCGCTTCAGCAGCACACATACTAAAATCAGAACGAAAGTAGATGAAGAATGCTTTCATTCACATCTGGACAATCTCCAGATATCAGAATTTTCAGTAAATTACTATTCTGTAATAAGAACTGAGCTTTCTTGGAGGCAACATTGTGGTGCATTATTGCTTAAGCTTCTGCGTGCAACACTAGTCACACCAGTATCCCATTCAGGCACCAGTTCAAGTCCTGGCTGCACACTCCCAGTCCAGCTCCCTGTGATGCACATGGGTGGAGGATCGTCTAAGTGCTTGGAGGAGATCCTAATGAGGTCCCGGACTCCTGGCTTCTGCCTGGCCCAGCCCCAACGCTTGCTGGCCATTTGGGCCATGACCCAGTAGATAGAAAATTCCTTCTCCCTCCCTTCCTCTAACTCTGCGTTTCTTTAAAAAAAAATACCTTAAAAAAATAATTCTGCTTTCTAAAATCTTTATGGTCCCAAGAAGTCTGTCCTGTCTCCCATGTTGGTCAACTTTTCCTAGAAATTTCTCCCCACCTTTCAAAGTCCAGCCCTCACCTGGGCCTTCCCAAGGCCTCCCTCTGTGTTGCATGCGCAGCTCTTAATAGATTTGACACCCTTAATAACTAGTGCCATGTCGACATTGGACATGTTTAGTTATTGCAGAATACCTACCAAGGTGTTTGGTCTTGTGTAACTATTTCTGTAATAATTATAAATATTAATAATTATACATGTTTAACTAACAAGAATAATAGAAATCATAATTATAGGAAGTTCTATTATTTTTAAAAAGTTGATCAACATAAAATTGTGCAAATTTCTTTTAAAAAATATTTTTAGTGGAATGTAAAGAACCTGCAAGCCCTCTCACAAAAAAAAAATAAGTAAACATTTAAGGATAGAAAGTGATTTTTCTGTAATTTCTGCTGTATTCACTTGTTTCCTGCATTTTGTTTTTCAGTAATCAAGTTGAAACTTTTCCACTACTTAGAGGAGTACCTCCAAACCATCGTGTTACTTGTTCAGCTGTCCTGATGGGATTTTCACTTAGTAAATCTGTCACGCAGGTGTCTGCTATGCATACTAACTCAAAAATGGATGACCACCTCATGCCGGAGACTGAGAAAACCAAGTTGGAACCTGTGACTCAGTTATTTCAAACCACCAAGAAAATAAGGTTAAAGGACAGAAGCGAAGCAAACTTTACGAGGATAGAAGGGACTGGCACGGGATACATTTCAGAGAATGACTTAGGTCCAGTGGTATATGTTAAAGAAAGTGATGGAATAGAAATGACAGATGTGGAATGAAGTAGTGTCTACCTATTAACAAAGAAAGCAAACATTGCTCTTTGAAAGAAGAGGGTACTGGATGAGAACTGAACTTTATTCAGAAACCCTAAGGAAATGAGGGGAGATTATTTTTCACTCTTTAGGGATCATCTTAGACTGCACGTTTTGATAATGAATATTCAAAAGGCAGTTGCTCCAGGAAGAAAAAGCCTTCCAAACCGATTTCTCTGGTATTATATTCTATCCTTATTAAAAATGAGAGTTTTTCAGTAACAATATTTGAATGCCATCAGAACATTTTTTGTATTTCTTCAGCAAGTTTTTTTTTTTATGTGTGCAAGAATTTGACATCAGTATTTCACATGCTGTGTGGTGTAACAGTTTTGTATGGTGTAGTTCCAGTTTGGAATATTGCTTAGGGTACTTTACCATCCCACATTTTACATTTCCATTCTGTAAAAGATCACTACAAATAAACTCTGCAAAAGACATTTCACATTCAGTATTTTCCATTTAAAAACTTATTTTCCTCTCATCTAAATCATTTCACAGTTAGAAAATGGCTCTTTCCGGGCCCGGCATGGTAGCCTGGCGGCTAAGGTCCTCACCTTAAACACACTGGGATCCCATATCAGTATTGGTTCTAATCCCAGCAGCCCTGCTTTCCATCCACCTGCCTGCTTGTGGCCTGAGAAAACAGTAGAGAACACCCCAAAACCTTGGGACCCTGCACCCATGTAGGAGACTCAGAAGCAGCTCCAGGCTCCTGGCTTTGGTTTGGCACAGCTCCGGCCGTTGTGACTACTTGGGGAGTGAATCAACGGGAGGAAGATCTTCCTATTTGTCTCTGCCCCTTTCTGTATATCTGACTTTCAAATAAAATAAAATAAATAAATAAATAAATCTTTTTAAAAAAATAGCTCTTTCCAAGTATAATGGTTTATCTTGTAAATGTTACAATTTATACCACCAGTATTTGATTTTTCTAAAGATTTATTTTTTATTGTAAAGTCAGATATACAGAGAGGAGGAGAGACAGAGAGGAAGATATTCCTTCCAATGATTCACTCCCCAAGTGGTTGCAATAGCTGGAGCTGTGCTGAACCAAAGCCAGGAGCCAGGAGCTTCTTCTGAGTATCCACGTGGGTGCAGGGTCCCAAGGCTTTGGGCCATCCTCGACTGCTTTCATAGGCCAAAGGCAGGGAGCTGGATGGGAAGCAGGTCCACTGGGATTAGAACCAGTGCCCATATGGGATCCTGGCACATGCAACACAAGGACTTTAGCCACTAGGCTACCACGCCTGGTCCCAATGTTTAATTTTTAAAAAGCATGGTGTTTAATAAAAAGCTTGTTTTGTTATTAACCAGTTATTAAAATATCTTGTATGGAGCAGCAGTATTGTTACATGAAATTAAAGCCATTTTGTCAATTGTGACCTGCTACTATGTACTTTTCTGAGATTCCAGCTTTTTAAATTTTTCCCCTTTTAGACAAAACTATTATGTATGTTTTGAATGTGTTCCCGAGCTTTAATGAAAACGTCTGATGTCCATTTGTATAACCTCCTTAATAGTTATGAAAATAGGAAAAGACATCTTTGAGGGGAAATCAAGATTTTACAAATCACAAAAATACTGAGGAAATTTATTCCTAGGTAGTATGGGACCTAGAGGGGAAAGAAATGTTGAATGAAACAGAAGGCAATGAGAGTGCTTGTGTCATTTATGAACATAATTCTTTGGAAGAGAAAAAATGCACAAGTGATTCATTTGCTCACCTACCCTGGCTTTGTGCTTGGAGCTGGAGATACAGCAGTGAGGCAGACAGCCACGGCCTTGCTAATGCCTTCAACCCGGGAAGACAAAACACAATAGTTACACAACAGTTGTGTAAGATACAAACCATGATGTGCCATGAGGAAAAACTAAAGCATTCAGAGAGACATTGTAAGAGGAACAGCGTGTAAACTTAATTTTAACTCTGAGGACCAGGAAGGCTTCTCGGAGGACATGAAATATACACTTTTTGTTTTGTTTTGCACTGATGTGGTTGTCCCAGTGGATAGTGACTTGGAGAATGTATTGATGGTTTGGAAGTGGGAAATAAGGAAGAAAAAGATATTTCTACCAAGACTTTACAGGTATAGGCATGAAAAATCCTGGTGGGGGGCACAAGGGGAGGGAATTCAGCAGTGCAGATTCTGGACATTCCCAGGTGTCCAACATGTGAAACTAAAAGTAAAAATTTTGAAGCTGTATACAGATGTGGCATTTAAGCCATGGACATGAGATTGCTTAAGGAAAACATGCAAGTGCAAAATTTAAAAAAAAACTCAAAATTTAAAAAATTCAGGGGCTGGTGAGAGTGAGGACTGAGGAGTTGTCAGTGGAGCTGGAGAAAAACCGAGACAGGTTAATAACGCCAAGATTACCAAAGGAGCCTTGGAGGTGGAAGCACCCTGAAAGGGACTAGCCACATGACCTTAGCAAAGAGCACTTTTGCTGGAACGACAAGGCAAAAGCCATGTCAGGGTAGTTGAAAATGACTTGGAAGAGTAGATGCATGCTGGATATGTATCAGCTCTTCCAAAAAGCTAGCTCTGAAGGGAGTAGAAGGATGAAGTTGGGAAGCTGTTATCCTGGACACAGCGAATAAAACCTTTGCATGCAGCACCAGCATCCCAAATGGGCAATGGTCCAACTCACAGCTGCTCCACTTTCAGTCCAGCCCCCTGCTAATGCACCTAAGAAAGCAGCGAAGAATGACCCAAGTGCCTGGGCCCTTGAATCCATGTGGGAGACCCTGAAGAAGCTCCTGCTTTCTGGCTCTGGATTGACCCAGTCTCAGCCACTGTGGCTATCTGGGAAGTGAACTAGTAGATGAAAGATCTCTCTCCCTGTCTAACTCTGCCTTTCAAATAAAAAAGCAAAAAGTAATTACTTTTTTTTTAAGGGTGAAGGTAGAAGAAGAGAGGACATGAGAGGGGCGCTTGAGATGAGATAGGGTACAGCATGTTTGAGCATCCCAGAGAAGTGAAGGAGTAGCAGGGGAGAGAAGTCTTGGCGCAAGGAGAAAAAAATGGGACTGACTACCACCACCTCAGAAGGAAACTGGGTTATCGGGAGCAGAATGCTGTAACACTTTGTATTTTAGAGACATGGAATTCAAAGGAATATAAACAGAGTTCATATCACGCGGCTAGTTCAAATAAGAAAACGCCTATGGGAATTAATTCTGGACACTATTTCCACCTGCATAATCCAAGACTAACAGAGTGACAGCATTCTAAAGGCGTGATGATAACCGAGTCCCTGTGTCTTCATTGTAGCTTTTTAGGACACCCTGGCTAGTGACAGTATCAGCAAATTGTAAGCCTTGATCACTTCTTAAACTCCAAGAGGCAGGCCTTGGCCCCTGGCTGGTTTGATCGTGGCTTTGGCAAGCCACTTGCCGCTGCTGGTGATCAGCAGTTTGTTAACGCGGTGATGTGGGGGTTCATCCTCTGCCACCTGCTGTGAGGGATTCCCTAAGTCAGGATCACTAGCCTGGGGGTGTGTTTCCCACTCCCTTTCGGCCTCCCTTACTTCTTGCCAAGTCTATCACGAATGCCAACGTTTGTTGCTCCACATGCATTTTTCCTTCCCAACTGACTGACCTGTCAAGGAGAGTTTCACCAGCCGTTTGGACGGTGGGAAGGCGCTGCGTGAAGACTCAGGGTGACGCCTACACGTTCCCTGCAGAGCACCAGCTAGGACACCCCTAACCTCGCTCCACCACACGCCCCCTGGAGGGCGGCCACCCCTGTCAGGCGGGGACCTCCCATGGAAACTGCAGATTCATGGCTTTCCCTACTTGAATTCCAACGTGGCCTGAGTTCCTGCCTCGAGTCTAGCTCGGCGTTGGCTCCCTCCCAGCCCACCGGCGCCCCGGGACCCGGTCGGACTGAGGAGGGCGCCCCGCCGCCGCCAGAGCCCCGCCCCGCCCCATGGCCCCGCCCCCGCCGCCAGAGCCCCGCCCCCGCCGCCAGAGCCCCGCCCCCGCCGCCAGAGCCCCGCCCCGTCCAACACTTCCGGTCGGCGGCCGTGGGAGCGCGGGGGCGGGCCCGACGCTGGCTCCGCCCACGGGCGGGGTCCCACTTCTCTGTGGGCCGGCACGCGCCACGCGCCGCCACCCGCGTTCCGGCTCCTCACGGACCCGCGAGAACACGCACGAGGCCAGGGACGCTACCGGAAGCTGCCGGTGAGTGAAACCGGAAACAAGATCTTCGGGGCCGTGGCGGGTGGACGTGGGTTCCGGAGCGGTGCGCAGCCTTCCTCCAGCTAGCTGCAAGTGGGGTACCCGACCTATCCAGCACCCTGAGGACGGGCTCCCAGTGCTCGCTACCGGCTGGTGCTCGAGGCCGTGGTAGACCCTCCTGGGAGGGTGTGCTCCGAAAAACACGCTGGATGCTTAGCTGTGTGCACGCCCCACAGAGAGCCCAAAAGGCGCAGTAAAACGTGCACGCTCCCATGATGAGATTTTGTGTTTTGTTTCTTTTGCTTTTCTGCGTGGTGATGGAGAAGCCCCTAAGAACACAGAAATGAGAATGTCGTCCTAGGGCTGGGGCTTCTGGCCCTGTGCCCTGGCACTTCCCACGTTCCGTCTTGGAGTATCTGGGATCCATTCCCCAGTTCGGTTCCCTCCTACGCCCCACTTTCCTGCTGGTGCCCGCCTTGGCAGGTAGCAGGTGGGCGCAGGACCCCAGGTTTCAGCCTGTGCAGCCAAGCCGTTACCAGAGTGAACCAGGCAAAGTAGAAGGTGCAAGTAGCAGTAAGGCAAAATGATTTTGGAAGAACATTTCTCCATGCCTTCCAAGGCTTGACTGTATCCTGACAGCTAAAGAAAGCCTGTGTACAACCTGGCATAATGGCTCAATTGGCTAATACTCGCCCTTCAAGCGCCGGGTTTCCAGTTCCTGTCCCATCTGCACCACTTCCCATCCAGCTCCCTGCCTGTGGCCTGGGAAAGCAGTGGAGGGTGTCCGAAGCCTTGGGGCCCTGCACCCAGGTGCAAGATTTGGAAAATTTCCTGGCTCCAGGCATTATGGCCATTTGAGGAGTGACCCAGCGTACTAAAGATCTTTGTCTCTCCTCTCTGTAGATCTGCCTTTCCAATAAAAACAAATTAATCTTAAAAAGGAAAGTTGTGTAGGGCTGGCACATGTGGCATAAGGAGCTGGCAGCACATATGGGTGCTTTTCTGATCCAACTCCCTGTTAATGGTGGGGTGAGAGGGAGGGGCCTCTGCCACTCAACTGGGAAACCCTGGTGAAGCTCCCGGTTTCTGCCCAAGCCCAGCTCTGGCCTTTGCTGCCATCAGAGGCGTAAACCAGAGAGTGGAAGATCTCTCTGTAACTGAACTTCAAATAAATGTTTTAAAAAGGAGTGCACCAGCCCCAGCTGACCCATGAGACTTTGAAACTTAGAACTCAGTCCCTTTGTATTCCTTCTGTATTCACCCAGAGCACTTGTGACCATTTGGCTTTTTCAGTGTTCCTGTAAACCAGTGGTTGAGCAGGCTCATCTGGGTGTTTGACTGATGGTGTATAGTATACTTGGAAATCAGTAAGTTTACATCCAAACTTTTTTTGATACAACCCTTTGCACTTCTTTTTAAGTCAGAGTTACAGGGAAAGCAAAAGAGATTTTCCATCTGCTGGCTCACTACCCAGATAGCTGCAGTGATCAACACTGAGCCCGGCCAAAGCTAGGAGCCAGGGTGCTCATCTTCCAGGCACACCAGCTTCCAGGTCTGCCTCGACAAGGGTAAAGGCACCCACACTCTCGGGCCATCTTCCACCCTTCCGCCGTCTTTCCCAGGCCATTAGGGAGTTAGATCAGCAATAGAGCAGCTGTGACCAGTGCTCCTATGGAATGCTGGCATCATAAGCCACAGCTTTCCTGAAGTGTGCAAGAATTCCTAAGACATATCAAATTGACACATTTCTGGTAACATTAATTTTATGAAGCATTTTGTGTGGTCCAAAGCATTTAAAATAAGTTGGAAGTTAATTACTTGCCAAAGTTATTTAATTGTAAGTGGTAGATCCAGGATTAAAATTTTAAGCAGTGAGCTGACATGATGGTTCAATTGGCTAATCCTCTGCTTTGCAAGCACCAGCATGCCATATGGGCACTGGTTCATGTCCTACTTGTGGCTCCTGACTTCAGATCAACAGCCATTTGGGCAGTGACCCAGCAAATTGAAAATCCTTGTCTCTCCTCTCTGTAGAGTGCCTTTCCAGTAAAACTAAAATTTAAAAAAAATAATAAAATTTAAACTGTTAACTGCTGTGCTATCCTGCTTTACTGTGTATATTCAGTCAGGTACAACAGCCTCTGTGCCTTTACCTATGCCTGTAAATTCTGTGTGTGTGTGTGTGTGTGTGTGTGTGTGTGTGTGAGAACATATGGCCAGAGATAAGATGGATACATACTAACAGGTTAATTGTTATTCTAAGTGGCAGAATTATGGATTCTTTTAAAAAAATAATTGTTTATTTTTATTGGAAATGCAGATATATAGACATAAGGAGATATAGAAAGATCTTCCATCTACTCCCCAAGAGGCTACCATGGCCTGAGCTAAACCAATCCGAACCCAGGAACCAGGAGCCTCTTCTGGGTCTTCCATTTGGGTGCAGGGTCCCAAGGCTTTGGGCCGTCTTCTACTGCTTTCCCGGGCCACAAGCAGGGAGCTGGATGGGAAGTGAAGCATCCAGCACACGAACAGGTGCCCCTATGGTATCTAGGTACATGCAAGGTGAGGATTTAGCCATTGAGCTATTGTGCCAAGCCTAGGATTAGGGATTATTTTGTTTTTCTTATCTATGTCTTAACTGTTTTTCTCAATGAGCATGCATTACTTGCTAATTCAAAATAATTTCCTTGGATTTGATGGAGTGGGCATTTCACCTACAACATCAGAGTACTTGATTCCTGGATCCAGATCCTGACTCCAGCTTTCTACCAAGGCAGTATCTCCTCCTGGGAGATAGCAATCTTGGATCAGTTAGGTCCCTGCCATCCCCGTGGGATCCCAATCTGGAGTCTAGCTGAGCCTCGGCAGGCATCTGTGCAATAAACTAGCAAAGAAGAGCTATCTGTCCTTTAACCCTTGCTTCTACGTCACAAGTAAATAAATACATTAAAATGATTTGGAGCATGCATTTTACCTACGAATTAAAAAGAGGCCACTGAGGTGCTTTACAGGCCACGACTCTGTTAATATGCACCACCAGGGGGCAGCACTATTGGCTCAAGAATCGAGTTTCTGGCTACTGTCTCTAGTCCCACCTATTCCAGGTATTTGGAAAATGAACCAGTGAATGGAAGCTTTATATATCTCTGTCTCTCAAATATAGTAGCAATATCTTTCGTAGATTTGAGATTTAGTGCATAATGGATTTGTGGTACTTACTGTTTGAAAAATATATCAACTGAATTATTTGTCTGAGTACTGTGTTGTAGTTTCAAAAGACTCATGCTAAAGCTAAAAGGCATGGGAAGCAACTAACCTGAATACTTAATGAGAATTAGGTCTGTTTGGATTACATAACCCATAATTGATATCTAGAAACTAGAATTTAGGTTTTTTCTCTCATGAATTCACTTGTCTATATTCCATTTGTTTAAGGCATGCTGATTCCATTTTCAATGAAGAACTGCTTCCAGTTCCTTTGTAACCACAAGGTCCCAGCAGCTAGCTTGAAAACTACAGTTACAAGTGGGCTCATCCTACAGTCAATTTCCAATGACGTTTATCAGAATCTTGCTGTGGAAGACTGGATCCATGACCATGTGAACCTAGAAGACAAGCCAATCCTTTTCTTTTGGAGAAATTCTCCGTCTGTTGTGATTGGCAGGCATCAGAATCCTTGGCAGGAATGTAATCTGAATCTGATGAGAGAAGAAGGTATAAAACTGGCCCGGAGGAGGAGTGGTGGAGGGGCAGTCTATCATGACTTGGGCAATATCAATTTGACTTTCTTTACAACCAGAAACAAATACGACAGGATGAAGAATCTGAAATTAGTTGTGAGAGCCCTGAATACCGTTCAGCCCCAGCTGGATGTGCAAGCTACCAAAAGATTTGACCTTTTGCTTGATGGACAGTTTAAAATCTCAGGAACAGCCTCTAAGATTGGCCGGACGACTGCCTACCACCACTGTACCCTTCTGTGTTGCACTGATGGAACCGCCTTGACTTCGGTACTAAAGAGCCCTTCCCAGGGGATCCAGACGAATGCCACGACCAGCACTCCCGCCGTGGTAAAGAATCTGCTGGAGAAAGATCCCACCCTGACCTGTGAGGCGGTCACGAAAGCCGTCGCTGCCGAGTACGCTGCCTGTCATCAGCTTGATGATCACATCACCCTAATCAACCCAGCAGATGAGACCCTGTTCCCTGGGATAAACAGCAGAGCCCAAGAGTTACAAACTTGGGACTGGCTGTATGGCAAAACTCCAAAGTTTAGTATCAACACTTCCTTTAATGTTTTATGTGGACATTCATGTCTAGAAATTAAAGTATTCATAGATGTAAAGAATGGAAGAATTGAAATCTGCAGTATTGAAGCACCTGATCATTGGTTGCCACTGGAAATATGTGACAAATTCAATTCAAGTTTTATTGGCAGTAAGTTTTGCCCAAACGAAGCTACCACGCTAACAAATATATTACTTAGAACATATCCAGAAGATCAAAAACTGCACAGTAAATGGAATATCCTCTGTGACAAAATTAAGGGAATAATGTGATTTCAAAATTTCTTGATACCATTTCAGTGAGAAAATAAAAAGATTGCTGATGCACTTTGTATGTCTCTTTAGAAAAGTAAGAGAGAAGGCCCAGTCCCCCTGTGCCCCCGTTCAAGATGATCACCTGTCCACATTTGCTGCTGTTTTCTAGGCTCCTGTTTCTTCAATCATTTAACACAGGCACGCATCTGTTGCTCTTTTACTGACCATGTAAGCCAGGTTACATATTCTGAATTTGCTTTTTTAAGGGTTTTTCTTTTTTTTTTTTTTTTTTCATTTTTCTTGTAAGAATTATAACTCCGGCTTCTTGCTCCCTGTGTTATCTTAAACTCTAAAATTCTCCTTTTTATTTACATAGTTAACCCTCAATATCCACAAGAGATTGATTGCAGGACATCCGAGGATACCAGGAAGAATCCGCGGAGGACCAAGTTCCTTAATAAATGACATGATGCTGGCATATATAATTTCTGTAATCTTCCTGTATATTATAAATTGATTCTAGATTTTGTAATAATAATAGAAAAGCTGTGTAAATAGTTGTTACATTATATGGTTTCGAGCTTCCTGGCAAGCACAAAAGCCTGAACAGGTTCAGTAAAGATTCAGTTCCTACCCACTCCCTGTATTCATTTATATTCCCACCAAGAGTATTGGAATTTTTCATTCTCTGTATCCTCAACAGCATTCACTCACTGGAGTGAGATGGTGTCACACTGTGGTATTCATTTGCATGGATTAACACAGAGCTTCTTCATGAGGGTACAGGAGCCCAAGCACTTGGGCCATCTTCCATTGCTTTCCCAGGATGCATGGGCAGGAAGCTGTAGGGAAGCAGAGCACCAGGACTCAAGCTGGCACTCTGATACAGAATACAGGCATTCAAGCAGTCCCTTTACCCACTTCAGAGCACTTGAATCCAGAATAATTTTCCCTCTTTCAGGGTCAAGATTAGCATCTTCATGGTTACTATTTATTATTTGTTGAATTATTTTGCAACAGTTAAGTAATAGAAAAGCTTGCAAAAATGTTTGCATTGGCTGTAAGGCCTGAGAAGAAATACTGTACTGTAAGTCTACCGAAACTTCAGAAAAGTATTTAGGAGTATTCCCACAATTGAAGAATGGATTCATAAAATACTAGAAATAGTTTATTATTGGTCATCCATTATAAAAATATGCTCAGATAAAAAACAGAATTTAACATTGACTTGCTATGGTTTGACTGTATCTTCCCAAACTGGAAACCTGGTCCCCATGCAGCAGTGTTGGTAGGCGGGAGATGGAAGCTTTGGGAGATAACTGGGTTATAAGGGCTCTGCTCTCAGGATATCAGGCTAATGGGTTATTACTGGTGTGGTTTATTAAGACAGATAACAGCTCCTCTGGCTAGAGCTGTCCACTGCCATTTGAACAGGCAGGAAGAAGGTCTACATGAGATACCAGCACAGACTTTCCAGCCTCCAGGATCATGAACTAGATCAATCTTGACTCTATAAATTACTCAGTCTGTGCTATTCGGTTAGAAGCAACAGAAAACAGACTCAGGCTGTCTCTTACAGAGGAAATATAGAAGGTGTGACACATCATATTTGTTTTGTGTGTTTGGTATGAAAAATATCCACCGTTGTTTCATGACATGGTCTTAAATCAAAATCACAATATCCAAGGGAAAATTGACCCTAAAAAGAAAAAAAATAATAATACTGTTAAAAATGACATGAAAAAGTGCTACTGCTATATTAAATCATAAGATCATGTCCTACCCGTGGTCTCTTAAAATAATCAAGTCCTCTTCCAATCTTAATCACCCATCCATTGTTGAACCTGTAGGAATCAGAACATAGCATTACAATGAAAACATTTAAATCAGATAGTTATTAAAGCTATCATGTATTAACTCTTCTGTAGTGGTAGAACCCCATCAGACCCGGAGTTTAATCATGGGCTCTGCCTATAATGAAACAAAATGGCCATCTCGCACCATCATTTGATTGGATTATCTGATAGAAAGTTTAACAGTTAAGACTTATTCTTGAATGTCAGCTTGTAAATAAAACTTCCCCTATAATTTTAACCAGCTCAGAGTATATTTAGGTGGTCTTGTGACATTTCAAGAGCTCTCCTACTTGGAGATGCAAAAGGGAAAGAGTTCTGGACCTTGACCTCTGTTTAACCAACAAGCAGATTCATTTTCATCTGTTTTGCATAGTTTCTGCTTAAGTTGTCAGGGGTGGGTGGCCTAATGGCTAACATGTTGATTAGAATGCCAGTGTCTCATGGCCCGGTGCAATCTGTCTCAGTAGCTAAATTCTCCCCTCACATCTACAGGGATCCCATGTGGGCACCAATTCATTTCCTGGCTGCTCCACTTCCCATCCAGCTTCCTGCCTGTGGCCTGGGAAAGCAGTCAAGGATGGCCCAAAGCCTTGGGACCCTTCACTTTTGTGGGAGATTAAGAAGTTCCTGGCTCCTGGCTTTGGATCGGCTCAGCTCTGGTCACTGCGGCCACTCTACCTTTCCACTTTCTAATTAAAATGAATAAATCTTCAAAAAAAAAAGAATGCCAATGTCTCTCTTCACAGTCGCTATGTTCAATGCCTCCAGCTTCTGATTCCAACCCAGGAGAATGTAATCATGGATCCAGCAGCTGTGTCCCTGACTGCTGTCTTCAGCAGGCTGCCTATCTTGGGCCTTTGGGGAGTGAACCAGAGGATTAGAGTTCTTCCTCCACCTGCCTCCCAAATAAATGATTTTTTAAAACAAGTTTTCATTCAGTCCAAGGATGATATTGCCATAAATATGAAAACCCTGCTAAAATAATTGCATGTTATTTTCTTATGAGCTCAACAAGCTACCATGAGATTTAATATCCAGTAAGAAAGAAGACCACATTAAGTAAGTATCAATTTGACTAGAAGATGAATCATTCCAACACCATAACATTAAATAGACAGTTGGACAAGAAAGTACTCCTTCTCACATGACACAGAACATGTCAATTTTATTCTATTAGTAAATGCACACGTTTATTCAAGTTCTTTTCTCCTCAGAAAATTACTCAATTTGAAACTATCATAATTTTCAATATTTAAGTGTAGCAACGTATACAATCATATAAGACATTAACAGAAATTCACAAAATGTATTTCTACTGAGCAAAAATAAAAATATTGCATACCAACCTAATTTCTCGGTCATGTAGCGAAGAAGAGTATTCTACCTCCAACAACACTCCGTGAGTCCTGAGGGATTCTTTTATTTCATTTAGGCCACTACTTTGCTGCACGTTCCCAAAGCCCTGCTAACAGCAAAAGTTTACATTTTTGCCTGAGTTAGGAACTTATCTTTAAAGCTGTACAGTGACTATTACAGAAGGATTAAAATGGAAAGCTTCTGTACTAGTTTTGATATCTATCAATGAAGGAAAGTGAAGTAGCTTAAAGAGCAGCCCTTTTCCTAGAAATAACCGCCCTCTCCTAATGTGAGCGGAACTCTCCCATCTCCTCTCGTGTATTTCAGGGCTGATGTTTACTTACCCAGATGGGGGTACATAGTTCTCAAACTAATCCTAGAGGTCGCAATTATTTAGTATTAAAATCAAAATACAGATGGCTACAATGCTAGTATTATCCATTTATAAAACTGGAAAAGGGACAAAATTTGGGGGGGCAGTACTGTGTTGCAGCAAGTTATCCCACTTGTGATGCCAGCATCCCACAGGGGAGACCCAGTTTGAGTCCTCGATGTTCCAGTTCCGGTCTGGCTCCCTGCTAATGCTCCTGGGAAGGTGACAGAGGGCGGCCCAAGGGCGTGGATCCCCGCCAGCCACGTGGAAGATGGGGATGTTCCTGGCTCCTGGCTTCAGCCTGACCCAGACCTGCTGCTGTTGTGGCTAGTGGGGGAATGAACTCCCCCCCCTTGCCTTTCACATAAATAATTTTTCTAAAAAAGAGAGACAAAATTGTCAATAGTGCAGTGTGATCACCTCCAACATGAAACAAACTAAATTGACACAGTTTATTAAGAGTTTAGCAAAGTGGTCAAATACTAGGTGAATATCCTAAAATCAATACCTTTTTTAAAAAATGTGTTATGCCTATTGTTAGACAATAAATTAAGTTTCAAGGAGTAGATCTAGCTATCACGCTAAATCCAGGTTTTCCTTGATTGGATTCTATCTCATAACTGAACAAAGGCAGCAAGACACAGCAAGTGCTTTCAAATACTTACTTTATCCAGAGAGGTGACAAGGTGAATAGTTTTTACTTTACATGGTTTCTTAATGAGCATCTCACAAAATCGAAGGAAGTTGTATAGCTGAAAGACACCAGCAATGGATTACCAATGACTAGTAAATACGCACAGTAACATGTGAGAGCCCAGCATTGTGGCTAGTTAAGCTGCCCTCTGAAATTCCAGCATCCCATACGGGAACCAACTCATGACCCACCCGCTCCACTTCGGATCCAATTCCCTGCTAACGGCCTGGGGAAAGCAGAAGAGGGTGACTCGAGTCCTTGGGTCCCTGCCACCAATGCGGGAGACCCAGACAGAGTTCCAGCCTCCTAGTTTTGCCTTGGTCCAGCCCCAGCCACTGTGACTGTGACTGGAGTGTGAACCAGCAAATGAAAGACCTTTCTTCTTCCTTCTCTCTTTCAAATAAATAACTAAATAACAATTTTTCATTATATTCAGTACATTTCACTTACCTGATGTGTCTGTCTAATGTAAGGGTCTTCTATCCAAACTTCTGTAACACTCTCAGTAAGGTATTCTTGAAAAAGTGTCTCATAGCCGAAGCCTGTTGCATCCTCTTCTATTTTAATTTGCTTGTGATATTTCCCATCTAAAAAACCACAAGGGCCCATACTATGACCAGTGACCATTTTTAAAATACATTTTATATCTCCTGACTGATTAATCAGAATCAGGTCAAGATTTTTTAGCATATTCACTTAGCAACTATTTATGGAATGCCCACTGTATACCATATACACTACAAAATTCTATATATACAGAATAAGGCCAATTATTTCATAAATGATTTCTGTGTTCACTGAAGCTGGAAGGGATATTCCAAAGGCTTTTCCTGACAGGTTCCTAAGTTGGATCCTATAGAACAGGCAGTTTAGGGCCTGATGCAACAGCTTAGTGGCTAAAGCCTTCGCCTTGCACGCACCTGAATCCCATATGCATGTTGGTTCGTGTTCCAGCTGCCCCACTTCCCATCCAGCTCCCTGCTTGTGGCCTGGGAAAGCAGTCGAGGACGGCCCTTGGGACCGTGCACCTGTGTTTTCTTTCCTTCTTTCTGTATATCTGACTTTCCAATAAAAATAAATAAATCTTTGAAAAAAAAAAACAGGCATTTTATTCAAGAGAGGAATATATGGAAACTTGTGTTTCACTCAGCATTCTCTGTAGCTCTTAAAGTGCAGTCTACGCAGAAGCTTCGTAAGGATCTGTGAACTCTGAAAGAGTATGCAAAGTTCTAAGGTGCATACAGCTCCCAGAGGATGCTCAGAGGACTCTGACACCAGTACACACTGGCTTGCTTTAAAAAAAGTTGAAGTGGGGCCCGGCGCGGTGGTGCAGTGGTTAGGGTCCTCGCCTTGCACGCCCGGGATCCCATATGGGTGCCGGTTCTATCCCGGCAGCCCCACTTCCCTTCCAGCTCCCTGCCTGTGGCCCGGGAAAGCAGTCCAGGACGGCCCAAGGCTTTGGGACCCTGCACCCGCGTGGGAGGCCCGGAGGAGGCTCCTGGCTTCAGATCGGCATAGTATCGGCCGTTGCACTCACTTGGGGAGTGAATCATCGGACGGAAGATCTTCCTCTCTGTCTCTCCTCTCTGTATATCCGCCTTTCCAATAAAAAAATAATAAAAATAAATCTTTAAAAAAAAAAAGGTGAAGTGGGACAGCGTGGTGGCACAGTTGGCTAAACCTCAGCCCGTGGGGCTGGCGTCCCATGTGGGTGCTGATTCTAGTCCTGGCTGCTCCACTTTCCGTGAAGCTCTCTGTTTATGTGCTAGAAAAGCAACCGAGGCTAACCCAAGTCCTTGGACAACTGTTCCCACATGGGAGACGCAGAGGAGGCATCTGGCTCCTGGCTTTGGGATCTGTCCAGCTCTGGCTGTTGCAGCCATAACCACCTTTCAAATAAAATAAATCTTTAAAAAAAAAAAATAGAATAATTCTTGTTAAAAAAAAAATCTGTCAATTTTGTGGTCAAGAAGCCAGGCCCAAGCAGAGCTCAAAAGGCAGGGGCCATGATTCCCTGGGGAATGCGCAGTCTCACCAGGGCTGTGGGCAGCTTCGGGCCTGTGTCTTACCTTCTTTCACTTGGTCCAAGTATTTCTTTATGTTTTCTGCTCTATCCATGTAGCTGGAAATTTTTTTTCTGAGATTGCTTCTCTTGGTAGGATCTTTGGTGCCTACAAATGTGAAAGGAATAGATTCTCAGATCTCCCAGGCATTATTTTCAGTTTCTTCAGTTTTCCATAAATTGCCTGCCCTGAGGCAATGGGCCCGTCCTAATGACGGGCTTGTCAGCCAGGAGCATGAGCGGCCGAAGCAGCTTTGGGAAGGAACTGGAACTTTCAAACTGCCCCTCAGCTCTGGGACACCATACCTGGATATGACAAAGGTGGCTTTTCCTCTAGGTTAAAACCCAGTACTGTCCCATCCTCATCATCCACATGTTTGGAATGTTATATAATCAAAAGAAAATAAAGCCAGGAAAAAGAAGAAGTGCTGTAACTACACTGGAGATCATGGAAGGACTCCCAAATGTGGCCTTAGAGTAAAGAAGAGGAAGAGAGGGAACATGCCAGGAAAATATTTGAGGATGACACATTCAGCCCAGAAGTCCACCTGCAATGATGTCACTCTCCTGTAAAATCGTCACAGCTAAAGTTTCTGCCTCTGGAACAAGTTAAAATCTGCCAAGGACCCAGTGCAATAGCCTAGTGGCTGAAGTTCTCACCTTGTACATACCACGATCCAATATGGGCACCACTTCGTGTCCCAACTGCCCTGCTTCCCATCCAGCTCCCTGCTTGTGGCCTGGGAAAGCAGCAGTAGAGGACAGGCCAAAGCATGGGGAACCTACATCCTCGTGGGAGGCCTGGAGGAAGCTCCTGGCTCCTGGCTTCAGATTGGCTGGACTTCGGCTGTTGCAGCCACTGGGGGAGTGAATCAGCACATGGAAGCTCTTCCTCTCTGCCTCTCCTCCTCTCTGTATATCTGACTTTCCAATAAAAATGAAACAAATCTTTAAAAAAAAATCTCTTTGCAGCCAAGGGCATCTACAGTGTGATCCAAGTCCCCATCTATACAGTGGTCACCCTTCCTTACACATACGCTGAGGCAAATTGAGCCACTTACTGCTAAAGCAGCACAGGCATAACCGTATAACTCTTTGCTGAATTTCTGACTTCTGAAATTCTTTTGACTGCTAAATCCTCACTGCTCTTGTCTACTTCTCTCCTGGTACCTACGCCCTGTGGTAGTTACTGGCGTGTTGGGTTTTCCCTCCGTCAGGTCACTGCCTCTATAGCCCCCATGTGATCAGTAAGGCACACTGCAGAATTCCTGTGACTGTCCTACTTCACATTTTTTTTTAAAAGATTTATTGGGCCTGGTGTGATGGTGTAGTGGCTAATGTCCTCACCTTGAACACACCAGGATCCCATATGGGCACCAGTTCTAATCCCGGCGGCCCCGCTTCCCATCCAGCTCCCTGCTTGTGGCCTGGGAAAGCAGTCGAGGATGGCCCAAAGCCTTGGGACCCTGCACCTGCATTGGAGACCCCGAAGAGGCTCCTGGCTTCAGATGGCTCAGCTCCAGCCGTTGCGGCTGCTTTGGGAGTGAATCATTGGATGGAAGATTTTCCTCTCTGTATATCTGAGTTTCCAATAAAACAAACAAAAAAAAATCTAAAAAAAATTTTTTTAAAGATTTATTTATTTATTGGAAAAGCAGATGTACAGAGAGGAAAGACAGAGAGAGGACGATCTTCCGTCCAATGGTTCACTCCCCCAAGCGGCCACAATGGCTGGAGCTGAGCCGAACTGAAGCCAGGGGCCTCTTCTGGTTCTCCCACACAGGTGCAAGGTCCCAAGGCTTTGGGCCGTCCTCGACTGCTTTCCCAGGCCACAAGCAGGGAGCTGGATGGGAAGTGGACCCACCAGGATTAGAACTGGCACCCATATGGTATCCCAGCGTGTTCAGGGCGAAGACTTTAACTGCTAGGCTATCATAACGGGTCCCTACTTCACATTTGACAGTAACCAGGACTTGAGCATGGTCCACCCCACCCACACTACACATATTCTTTAGAATTCAATGTAACACAGAGGACTGGGGTTCCACAGAGGACTGTGGTTCTATCACCACCTAGTGGCAGAACTAGGATCCTAGGTCAGGGCAATAACAAAAATGAAACTAGAGCGTGTTTGTCATGAGCTCTGTGCAGTGCCTGGCACTCAGCATTTAAATCATATACCTAGGCTTGTTGTCGATTTGTCATCATCACTCATTCACATGGACCCCACCTAAGGTGGAGTTTACAGTTCCGAGAAAAGCACCAAACCTTGGCAAGTGCCCTCTGCTGTCAGAAAAATCTCTGTAACATTTTATATAATTGTAAAGGAGAGACTGAAAGAGAGAAAGCGAGCCAAATGTTAAGGCTTATTAGAAATTTGGAGAGTTGGAGAACAGGGACTGATCCTAATCAATTAAGCACACAATTGATATGTGTCTGTGAAGAATCAGGAAGTTGTAACACCTGTGTACTGCTGAACACTAAGTAATTAGGTAATATGAAAGATTCGTGCCCCTCCCCCAATCTCCCACCCTGCAGATTTCTCACACCAATTTCAGTACATCCATTTAGCAGAACACATGTTTTCTTCTAACTCTACATGAGTTTATTCACTTTGAGTGAAAATATTTCAACTCATCATTTATATTTTAATGGTGAGCATGCGTGTTGTATTTGCTTCAACTTTTTAAATAACAGACGTAACATTTCTTTCCTAAACATATCTTCATCTCTGAAAATAGACAGTTTCCCAAAAAAGTCGCACTATGTAGATTGTCACCCAACTCACAAACTTCCCAAATTGATCCAAAAATATCTTTTTTTTCAGTTCTTTCCAAGCTGATTAACATTTTGTAAGTCTTCTTTTTAAATTTTCATTTAAATACTGTTTACATAATTAAGAGGGATGCACATTCATGTGGGTCTCTGATTACTGTGGGGAGGGTCAGGAATGGAGGGAGTTGGGGTCTGCCCCTTGCTGTCAAACTACATCAGTACATCTGGAATGACAGATGGCCATTTGATGCCATGATAGAGACCTCAAAGTGGGAAAAAGTATTCCAAGGGTGTCACTTGAATGGTTTTCAAAGTTCTGAGACATCGTGAGCTTCATTGCACTAGGGCTTAGGAAAATTTTTCAAGGTCTTATTGTAGCCCAGTAAGGGAGGTTCCTCAAGTTTGCCAATCAGGCCTGCTCCCAGTCCCAGAATTCCACACGTGCCAGCCGGCAGGTGCAGTGTCACTACTTGGCATGGTCTGTTCTCAGTCCTGGCCTTAGCATGTACCAGCGAGTGCTGCAGCCTACTACTGCCCCGCCTCCTCCCCGCCCCAGCTCCCAAAACTGTAAAATGGCTTCCAGTCAGGCAAATTCCAGGGTCCAACCCAGCTAGGCCATCACCACCCTCCAGCCCTCTGCTTAAACCAGCAGTGTACCACAAGAGAAGCCCACAAGACCCCTAAAGAATCTGTCCCAAATTCCAGTTCTTTCACATTCTAGTGAGTGTTGTATTCCAGCCTGACATAGTCCACCCTTACTTTGACAATCACAACTGTGCCCAGCCAGGTTTGGCACCCCCATCCCCATCCCAGCTTTTGCCTGTACCACCAAGGAGTGGGCGATGCTATTAGTTCATCCCAGGTCTCCTGTGTGGATGGGTGCCTTGGCCTGACCCAGACTTGCCCTGTGGTTTCCATCCTCCATACCACTCCACCTCAACTCTCTGGTTTATCTGTAAATGCAGTGGCCAGAAGTCACTCCTTGTGAGGCTAGAACATTGTTAATCCATTTTAAGTAGTTTATTAATCTAACCGCTGATCTTGGCTACTATAATAAGTGCTCAGCTTGCTGCAAAGAAAAGTAAGGTAAAGCTACGTAGGCCTCGGGACAACCTAGGTCTGAGTTTCAGTTTCCTAGAGTTGATGCAGCCACTCCCCCTAGTGGGTTGCCACCCACTCTAGACAGCCGAACAATCAGAAGTGACCTGGTCCCAGGATCCGTTCCCTCAGCAATCTGCAGCAACTATGCTGTAATACTGGTATAGTTAACACAGGTTTGACATTAACCAGGCCCAGAATGTCTTCAATCCGAAATCAGCACCCCCTTTGGAAGACAGTGCTGTGCTATACCAAGAAATAAGCCAGCCCAGCTGTCCAACAGCATCTCTCCACTTGAGTATTTGCTTCCCGGCGGTGTGCTCTCCCCGACAAAAACACCAGCTCCTTCTCCCGCCGCCGCTCCCCTCCACCGCTGGGAGCTCACCTCTGAGAACTTGCAGCAGCAGATCAATCCCCTCCTGGTAACACACGAGCGCGGGCTGATACCGGCCCTCCTCGTCGAGTTTCACCGCTCGACTTAGCACAGTAATTGCAGCACAGCTCTCCGGATCGCTTCCCAGCCCGGACTTGGCCATGATTGCCCGCGTTTCTCGCACTCCCCTGCTCACTCTGGGGAAAACACCACCACGCTTCCGCTTGATCACGTGACGACACGCGCGCGCCCTCTGGGAGGCTCGGAGGAGAGGAAGGGACTGCGCCGGAACACTTTTGTCTCGCCGCGACGGAGGTTTTAGAGTGTCGCACCCGGCCGTACTTCCGCCGTTCAGCTGCTCCTGGGAGGAGAGGTTAGAGTGGGCGCTGCTGGATGGTGAGTGCGGGGCTGAAAGCATTGCCTTTTCTCCAGGAGTCTGTAATTGGGAACCTTCTCCAAAACGGGTTGGTTTTTCCCGGTTGCGTCTTGCGGGAACAGTTCACGGAGACCTAGATAGGTCTGGTTCCAGTCCTATCTTCACGTATCAAGGGCCCACGCTGATTAATTGCTTTTCTTCACCTGTAATGTTAAATTAGTTACCTGGCTAAGAGGGAGGTTTGTCGGTTCTCCACCGTGAGGCTGGTTTTCTTCTTTTTTTTCCACTGAACTTGGGGAATAAGTCCTTAAGCCTGGCGCACACGCAAAGAGAAATAGTTTAGATAAACCTTTAAAAAAAATCTGAAAGAGTTGTGAAATGAGAAACCACCGTGCGCGGGTCCACTGTGGAAATGCTGCCTTAGCCTGACAGTTCCCGGAGGCATCGGAGTCCGGAGCCCCGGAGCCCCGGAGAGGAGTATAACCCGAAGAGTAGCTGGTAGCCAGATGCCTGCCCCCTTGCTGCACTGCTGCGTCAGTTCTTGAAAATTCGGTAAGAAAGACGACTTGTTTCTCTAATGCATTCACTCACATCAGTAGGGTACCTTTTTTTTTTTTTTTTTTTTTTTTCTGATTTGGGTTTAACTTAAGGCTCACGTTATTCCGCCTGTGGCCACTGGGAGTTCTTGCAGTTGGCTTCTGTGCATTTTTTTTTCACATCCCTCCATCACTGTGTGGTTTCTTTCTGACACTAGGCGAGGCCACTGCCACAATTAAGCGGTTCCTTTTATTTGAGAAGTCTATTGAAAACGGAGATCTGGGCTCTGCGTTTGTTCATTGCTACCAGGAGCAGTTGAGCTAGCCCTTGCCTACATTTCTGTGGCAGTGGCTGTGGCTGACAATATCTGTATTAAAATAGACACCAGCATACATTAGATAAGCTCTAATCTGGTTCATGTGGGTGATGCTAGCCTTCCCTTCTTGACAATTTGTAGCCTCTCAACAAATTACTTTTTGGGAGCTTTTGAACAGAGTAATCTGATTTAGGATTTCATGAGATAGGAAAAGGGGGAGTTGGAATAGAAGCCGGAAGGCCAATTAGTGGGACTTTGTTGAAAGCAAAGTGATTAAAGATGCTTAAGGAGTTGAATCACTATAAAATGCTTCGCTTGGAAGGAAGAAGTATGGTGAAACGATTTGCATTACATTGTTTCAGTTGCTAAGGAATCTTGTGTTGATTCCAACAGCTCATTGTTTTGAAAGGCAGATTTTAAAAGAGGACAGACAGACAGAAAGCTCTTGCATCTGCTAGTTCACTGCCCAAGTGACCTCAGTGAGCGGAGCTGAGCTGACCCAAAGCCAAGAGCCAGAGGCTCTCCTGGGTTTCCTGTGTGGATGCAGGCTCTCCTGGGTTTCCCGTGCGGATGCAGGCTCTCCTGGGTTCCTGTACTAGGACTTGGCCATCCTCACCCCTCTGCTTAGTGCTTTGATGTTACAGTGTGTCCAGGACTTAACTGAGCAGTGTACCTGTGTTCTCCCTATAGTTCCTTGCGGGACAGTCATCACAGAATGGCCGGCATTTTGCGCTCAGTCATGCAGAGGCACCCAAGCAAACTACAGGTAAGAGTTTCTTGTCAAGAATTATTTATTTTTTGTAGTTCCATGTATGATTATTTTTCTTTCTTATATTCAGTTTATTTTCCAATTTCCTTTTATGTTAATTTTTTAATGTTGGAGATTGTTTTGGTGCATTTATGGTTTATCTTTTTTATCCCTAAAGATTTGGAATCACAGATTTTTTTTTTCCTAAAAACCTGCCAGTAGCAATGTGTACTGTTGGTTTTTGCTTTGTCTATTGTAATACTAAAGTTCTACGAGTTTTTCCCCCCTTCAGTTATGAAAGAAATAGATTTTCGGTCATAGAAAATTAGGGGGAAAAAATGAAGAAAAGCAGAACCGTCCTCCAGAAACTATTCATGTTGACATTTTTATGTATTTCTTTTTAGTCTTTGTTTTAGAAAAATGTGTTGGTGCGGTGTGGTCTGCTTTGGTTAATCTAGGTGTAGGCCTGCTGCTGTGTGTAGATGCTGATCTTGACACACATTATCTTCACCTCCCATTAATCCTGTGAGGCCAGGACTCTCGGAGTGGTGTCTGCTGTCTCACAGCTGGGAGGGTCAGAGCCCAGTGTTTATGGTCTGTGAAAGTCCCTGTTCGTCCATTCCCTCCTGCCCTTTGCCCACCTGTTCATGCCGTCTCCAGCCAGGTCTGACCCAGGCAGAAGCCAGGAGCCAGAAACTCCAACCTGGTCTCAGTCCTTGGGCCGTGGTTCACTGCTTTCCCAGTGCCTTAGCAGGAGTATGGTTAAGTGGAGTCACTGGCTGTTTATCTTGCACTCCTGTATGGGATACGAACATCACAAGCAGTAGCTTAACATGCTGCACCGCTGCACCGTTCCCAGTGACTCTTTTTCTTTAGCAGCCTGAAACATAGCAATGCCCGTGTATTTGCCTGTTGTCCATGACTGCTTTTGCCCATTAATGGCAGAGTTGGATCTTAGCAGTGAAGCCCGTATAGCTCCAGATCTAGAAATACTTATCTGGTCCTTGGTGGAAAAAGCTTATTATGTGTTCATAGTAAAATAGAACGTATTCATCTAGAGAGCTGAGATAAACCTTTAACAATTACATGTCACGTCAGAACAGATTTTGATCACCTAGAGATTGGTGGGAATGGATTTTTGCACTAGACAGAGTTCTAAAAAATAAATGTTTTATGTCATTTTAGACTGTGACAAAAGGTGTGGAGTCTCTCGTTTGTACAGAGTGGATTCGTCACAAATTTACCAAATCAAGGATTCCAGATAAAGTAAGAATAAGGCCTTTTTAAAAATATTTTACATATTATATTTTAAAAGGTATCTTTTTTAATATTATTGGTAGTTTTTATGTTTAAATTATGTGTGGATATAGGTAGTAGTTGAAAATTTAAAACAGTAGGATTTTCAAAAAAATTTTTTTTAATAATGCTTACATAGTTGAACAGGGTGGGAAGGATCGAGGTTTAGGGAAAATTGGGTGAACTCATTGCTTTCAAATTTGCTGTTTCTTCTTGTTCCTGGTTTCTCATGCATACCAGCAGGTGTGGCAGCCTAGCCCAGCCTGCACCTTCCCCAGCCCACCGTCAGTCCCAGCTCTCATACTCCGTTGGTGGGAGCTGTAGCCTAGCAAGAAAGTCTCCAAAGTTCTCTACTAGGCTCTCTCTCAGCCCCAGGACTTGTGCTTACCAGTGGGTGCTGCAGCCCAGTTTGAGACGGTGGCCTCCAGTCTTAACATTAGTCCAACTGGGTGCTACAGCCTGGCTCAGCCCGACCTGCACCCAGTCCCAACTCTTGCAGGCAGGTACAGCTACCTAGTCCAGTCTTGCCCATGCTCAGCATTCATGTGAACTGGCAGGTTTTGCTGTCCAACCTGACCTAGCCTCTGCCCCATCCTGGCACTAACTCATGCCAATATGTGCTGTGGATTGGCTCAGCCTGGCCTGTCCCCAAACCCAGCTCACACATATGCCAACTGGCGTTGCAGCCTACCCTGGCCTGGCTTGTCCCCAGCCCCAACTCTCAGATTCACCAGCAGGAGCTACAGCCTAACAGGAGTAGCCCAAGTTCCCCTTGCCAGGCCCATTTCTAGCCCCAGATCTCACCTATGCTGGCAGGGGCTGTGGCCCAAGCTGACGAGCTGGCCTCCAGTCCTGGCAATCACCTGCAGGTGCTACGGCCTAACCCAACTGCCTGCACCCATTCCAGCTCTCACTAATCAGAGCTACAACCTCACCCAGCCTGGCCTGTCCTACATCAATTCTTACTCTCATGATCTCCAGCAGGTACTAGAGTCTAGCCAAGTCTGGCGTACTCCCAAACCCAGCCCGCATGCATGCCGACAGGTGCTGCAGCCTTGCCCAGCCTGGTCCACACACATCCCAGCTCTCATACTCCATACTCCCCAGTGGGAGTATGAGCAGGGCGATCACAGAGTTTCCCAGGCCCGGTCCCAGACCTGGATCTTGTGCATGCTGACTAGGATAGCTTCCTGGAACCCTTAACTCAGAAACAGCTCAGATGTCAGCTCTGTGGAGCTCATATCTCACCCTACACAGACAGAGTTTCATTGCATGTGTGTGTGTTTTAAGATTTAATTAATTTTGGGCCCGGCAGCGTGGCCTAGCAGCTAAAGTCCTCGCCTTAAACGTGCCGGGATCCCATATGGGCGCCGGTTCTAATCCCGGCAGCTCTACCTCCCTTCCGGCTCCCTGCTTGTGGCCTGAAAAAGCAGTCGAGCATGGCCCAGTGCTTTGGGACTCTGCACCCGCGTGGGAAACCTGGAGGAAGTTCCTGGCTCCTGGCTCCAGATTGGCACAGCACCCGCATTGCGCTCACTTGGGGAGTGAATCATCGGACGGAAGATCTTTCCCACTGTCTCTCCTCCTCTCTGTATATCTGACTTTCCAATAAAAATAAAATAAAAAACTTTAAAAAAAAAGATTTATGTAATTTTAATAAAAAGGCAGGTCAGATTATGGAGAGAAGGAGAGACAGAGAGAAAGATCTTCCACTACTAGTTCACTCATCAAACGGCTGCAGTGGCCAGAGCTGAACCAGGAGCTAGGAGATTCTTCTGGGTCCTTCATGTGGGTGCAGAGTCCCAAAGCTTTGAGCCATCCTCCACTGCTTTCCCATGGAGTTGTATTTGTATATGTGTAGCTGTATATGAGTGTGTGCTTAAGAAGAAATGAGAAGTACATTAAAACTAAGTGTTGGCTGAGAATTTGCCTTTTGTAATTATGCCTTTCCAGGTATTTCAGCCTTCACCTGAAGATCATGACAAATACGGTGGGGATCCTCTGCACCCTCACAAGCTGCATATTGTCACCAGAATAAAAAGTACAAAAAGACGGCCATATTGGGAAAAGGATACAATAAAGATGCTTGGATTGCAAAAAGTATGTAGCTCTTTTAGTCATTGTTAATATTGTTGAGATCTCTGAAGTTGATACTTTTTAAGCTTTATTTAGATACACATGTATTATTTCTTGAGTTGAAGTGTATTGGTGTACTTGACTATAAATCTGATTGATTTGTGCTTGTTTCTAGGTTTGTAACTTTGAATGAGTCACCCATTTCTCATTTGACTGACACTTGGAGTCCTCTGCTGTTTAAATCAGTCCCTAACAATTGTTCTTTTATTCGTAGGCACATACCCCTCAGGTTCACAAGAATATCCCTTCAGTGAATGCGAAACTGAAAATCGTTAAACATTTGATCAGGTTCGTTGCTTGTCACCCTAGCAATTTTTAAAAATGCGTCAGCTGATATAATCCTAAAGGCATTCTCTTACCTTGCAGAATCAAGCCCCTGAAGCTGCCACAGGGCCTTCCGACAGAGGAAAACATATCCAGCACGTGCCTCAAGAGCACTGGGGAGTTGGTGTTGCAGTGGGACCCACAACATGTGGGGCAGAATGCTTAGAAAGTCCTAACATCAGAGCAGCTACAGGTGTTCACTTCATGATGGTGAGAATGTGTGTTCCCCAGAATATATTAAATACCAATTGTGTTCACAGACTAAACTTGCTGAGATTCTTCCTATTCTGAAGAGTCAGAGCATTTTGTGGTATTATTTGGTTTAATTCTCTGGCTTTTACTTGAATAGTTCCATTTCCAAATAAGTACAGATAACATTGCTCAAATAATGTTCTAGCTAGAGATCCACTGACCACGTTGGTTAGCAGTTGTCACTAAAAATTGTTTCTCATTTAATTGAATTCAATTTCTGAATGGCTATCTTAGTCCATTTTGTTTAGCTAGAACAAAATATTTCAAAGGAGGCACTTCACATGAATCAGCAGTGTGTTTCACAAATTTGACAGCTGTGTAGTGTAGTTCAGCCTCAGGCAGCCACATCCAGCAGTGGTACCATGCTGTGTGCTGATGTGGCAGCTAGCATCACATGGTAAGAACCACAATGTGTAAGAGAGATCCTACAGTGAGAGAGCCTGCTGAGGAAGCCAGAGTCGCTGAGTAACAGTATGCTCTTGGGAGAGTGGCATCAGTCCCTTCCAAAAGCTGTTTTTTGCAACCTAATCAACTTGCACTAGAGCTGCTTCTTCAAGGTCCTTGGTGTAGGGGTAGGGTAGAATGGTATAGGAAATGGGGGTAGGGGAAAGAGCGTGTCATATCTAAACTACAGGAGATTCTTAGAGTGAACACTGTTAATGTGTTGGAGCAATCCGAGGCTGACCAAGACACAGTTGGTTCCTGCCCTTGGGGAGCCTACAGTCTATTGTGCTGCTAGCAGAGATGCAGCTAAAGTCAGGAAACACTGTGTGTGGCAGGAATGGCTGCTGTGTGCTTTAGTGTCTACAAGCACAAGAATGGCCAGGGGTTCAGAATTCCGGAGGAATCCCCGAGAAGGAGTAGAAAAAATCTTTGGGGGAAGATTAATTTATCCCCCCCCCTTTTTTTTTCCTATTACTTAGCTGGAGGAGTAAGCAGAAGTAAGACTTAGGGAAGGTTCGGTTCTGTAGTGGTTAAATGAAGATGACGGTGAAGAACCGCTGCTTCCCAGTTAATCTTTGTTTTCCTTTGTTTCTTGTGGAATTTAGCTCAGACAGCAATAGCATTGACGGGCAGAGAACCACATGTGGAAGATCTCTTTTCCTTTCTCCTTCTCCCTCTCTATAACTGATTTTCAGACAAATAAATCTTAAAAAGGAAAGAAGGAAGGAGAGAGATATTTTAGAGCATTACATTTTAAGACAAAAATATTACTGAAATGAAATCATATCTCATCATTTAAGCTAAAAGACAGTTACAGTTTTAATCAACATTGAATTTCTAGTACATATGTGTCTTAGAAGGTATAGATGAATAGAGACCCATAGGCTACAATATAAGGTAACTTTGTGTTGTTGGGGTCAAAGAGATCTTAAAGAGAATGTCATATCTGTCATTGTGCTGGTATTGACATGTAACTCTGGGAAAATACACTGGTTAATCTTTTGCCCAAAAAGCAAAGAAGTTCAGATAGATAGGTAATATTAGTCTTGACAGCCTACACTAGAGGGGCTCTCAATGTTAAGTAAATATTTGTAAATGAAATTGTCTTCAAAAGGAAGAAAAAAAACTGATATATTTCTTCCTACTTTATTTGAAAGGCAAAGAGAGCTTTTTCATCCATGATTTCACTCTCCAAAGGCCTACAGTAATCATTAGGATTAGACAGAAGCTAGAAGCCTTCAGCTGTTGGTGTCCCATGAGGTTAGTAGGGACCTAAGTATCTGAACCTTCATTTACTGGCTCCCAGGATGCACATCATGGGAAGTTCCTGCTAAATTGGGAGAGTCAGGACTCGAACCAGGCATTCTGATATGGAATGGGAACACCCCAAGAAGCAACTCAACCACCATGCCAAACTCCCTCCCTAGGAGAAGTCTTTAAGAAGAGTGTGGGAATAGACCGGTGTGTTAGTCTGATGTGGCCCTGTAACAAGTTACCTCAAACTTAGCTTGAAACCACACACCGTTTCAAAGTTCCTGTGGGTCCAAAGTGTGGGCATGGCTTAGCTGCGTAGTTTTCTTCCAATCTCAGATCAAAAAAGGTATCTCTCCAGGCTGGATTCTTAGTAGAGCATGGACTAGGACATCTACTTCCAAGCTTTCAGGCTGGCAGAATTGATTTTCTTGTAGCTATAACATTCGTGACAAGTTGCTTCTTCAAAAACAGCATTAGACAGAGACTCCAGCAAGATGGACACTTTACAGACAATGTGGTTGTGTGTATTCCATCACCTTTATTACCTCCCATTCGTTAGAAGCAGGTCTCAAGTCCTGCCTAGGCTCAAGGAAGAAGGGAATTACATAAAGGTGTGGCTGCAAGGAGGCAGGGTTGCTGGTGACCTTGTTAGAGCCTGCATCCCAAACTGGCAAGCCCCTCTTGGAATTAAGCACTTGTAGTTTGTAATGCTCCCTTTTAATCCCTTCTGCAATATCTCCTTTGAAGCAATTGTCTGTTTGTTTGGCCTAATGATCTAATAGAATATTTCCTTTTACTTTTGAATCAGTGCTCTTTGAGTCTCAGGACTGATGGGAAATGAATGTTAAATTTGAACCATTTCTTTGCCAAAGTTTATGTCAAACTTTCCAAAAGATGTCATCTGAGCACCCTACCAACCTGACCCAATCACACAGCATTGCCTAGTAACCATGCTTTTTATAGAATTTAGCTCGGGCAATGACATCATTGACGAAGTCAGCTTCTATGTCTGCAGGTGAGATGACACCGTCAATTCCTGACTTAAAGGCCAAGAGACCACCTGAAACAAAACACAGAGGCTTGGACTCATGTATTAGCATCCACCAAGAGTGACATATGAGCAAGGCCAGGATGTTGGCACTCAGGCACATCTTACAAAGCAGGCAGTCCCAAACCCTCCTTCCCCTCGTCCCTCCTGAAAGGCTGTGCCATCCCAAGCCTCCCTAGGAAAACTCCAGTTTGTCTTTCTCTCTCGCTCTCTCTGTGTCTCAGTTTTTGTTTTTTCTGGCTGTGAGCATCATGCTTGATTTTTACGTAGTCTAGGTCTGGAAGAACTGAATCTCCAGCAAATCATCAGTTTGAGAAGGCTTATAACATTCGTTCATTGAGTCACTCACTCACTCATCATTCAGTATGTTTCTGAGTACCTACTCTGTGCCAGAAGAGGTGCCACACTGAGTGCAGGGTACCCAAGACAGACTTGTTTCTTCATAGGTGCGTGTGTGTATGTGCGTGCATGTACCATTTTAACCTACAAGTTTATCCTCAGCAATTATTTGTGTATTTAGTGTAATTGCACTCTGCTTTGATCTGAGTTGATCCCTGCCATTAAGAACCTTAAACATAGAAACTGTTATGAAGTAAGACTAACTGTTAATGGTTGAAGAAGAGAAGCTATAAATATATTGGGGAATCTATAGGAATCAATGTGATTGAATGTCAAAAGAGAATTAATTAGAGAACTAATGAAAGCAATCTGGCTGGGATTACTGATTATAGAACAGTAGATCCAAAGACATGGACTATACAGAAGAAAGAACAATTTTATGCTGGGAGGCTAATGTGTCCATTTTGTCTGGGAGGTGCTGAAATTAAAGGAGTCTGTGGCTGGCCAATTAGAGATCTCTACTTAGACCTGAAAGCCTGAGAATGCTAGAAGAGTCAAAATTTGTCCAACCAATCTGGAAAATGGTCAGAAGTATCCTGAATCAGGAAAAATTTTAGAAGAAGGTAGACATTCTTCCAAACCAGAGCATCTACTCCAAAGGCATCACTCAGTAACTCAGTACCTGACGAGAGAGATGCCCTGAGGAACCCAGCCTCTTGAAGCAGGTAAAGGAGTCTGGAAGGCGTCAGTCAGTGAATCAGAGAATGCCAGGACAGCCTTTACACAGCCCCTGGACCCGCTACTGACCCAGTGGGGATGCTCCCCGGGAGGCCTCAGGTCTCATCCTCTACTCATTTAAACAGAACACTGCAAATAAAGCTTACCTTTGAGGTGTTGAGTCACACTCCAGGCAGGGAATTTTTTCTGGATTGCCTTAATTCTGTCTGTTAGTATCCCGACACCCTGTAAGAGGTGTTCTTTGCTGTCCCAGGAACCAACAGGGTGGTAAATGTGTTTATCAAGCTAAAAAAAATTAAAGTCATCCTGTCAACATCTGGATGAGGCAACCTGTTTTTCTGTGTTTCTTATTTTCTCATGTTCAAGTTCAATGCCTGGCCTTGGCATTTTTTCTTTATCTCAAGGAGCCAATTCTCTTATCCTTTATTTCATGAGTATAGAGTCAGAAAAACAAAGTTCTGGGGCAAGTGGACATGGCATAATTTTAGCTAAGCGTTCTAGTTAAACAAAAAAATAACAGGGAATGAAAAGAATGTTTCAAAACAATTAGCACTTAAAGTGTAGATATTTGTAGTAACAAATTATTGCACAGCTAATTAAGATAAAATTTGTTTCTAACCAGGGAGACCAGAAGTCTGGGTTTCTACCAACAATTTAAAATGGAGCCTGGGAGCAACTACCCAAATAATTGGGATCTCTTTCCTCCAGTTTACCCAACAGAGCAAGTTGCTTCCAGTAGAATATTTTCTCAGTTTGAACACATTACACATTATTTATTATAAGATTATAGTCACAAAATGTGTAATTTTCTCTGAAGATGGCCAATAAATAGTAAACCTTGTTACCAAATATGTGTTGCATAAATCTCAGAGCAAATTATGTTATAGCACTCAGAGCCAGATACCAGGGTGTTTGGGAGCCTGCAAGCATGGCAAATGGATTTCCAGTTTGAGTTGAGTTTCTGCAAGGAAGGTTCCTCACAGAGGTGGGGCTGATGGGAAGTTTCTAGCCAAATACCTGCATCAAGCCAAATTTAAGGCCTCTGTAGTCCCAGCCGTTTTGCAGAACGGCTCCTCCGTGGCTTTCTCTGGAGATGATGGCTGCAATGAGAGCAGGGTCTACACAATGTCTCTGTCCCACTTCTTTGATCAGATTCTGGTAAGGCCTTATGGCCTTCAGGTCCATCTCAGCAAACATCTCTGAACCACGAATCCCTAAGCAAATAGAAAAGGAACTGTTTCCTCTGATCTATAAGAGAACCCTTTTCAAGCTTCCTGAGTTGGCCACCTCTCTGACTACTGCCCATTCTAAATCATCCTTTGGATCTCTGACCTTAGAAAACCAGACAGGCCTGCAACCCCAAACAGGGCCACTTCTTTGTTCCTCCCTTGTGATATTGTGTTAGGAAGACTTCTGGATTAGGAGTCAGCCAACCTAAGTATGCATCAGTCTGGACACCTAGTTCTGAACCTTGTGGAGTCTATCCTCTTTGCTGAGCCCCAGGGCTCACATCTGTAAATTAACAGGGAGGGGTAGGTGTGATCCGGTTCGTTACCTATGACCTTCTAACCCCAGGATAACATCAGGTAGAAGGCTTTGAAACAGGATTACAAAGGAAACCAGAGAACAACAGAACTCCTTAGAACGCTCATGTTGTCACACATGGATAAGCACAGCAACAAACAAAACCAGGACCTAGTATTTTTACTTAAGGAATAACTTCAGGGGGTAAAAGCCAGTGCTACGAGTGAAGGTTTGGAAAGAATGGGGGCTGGGGCAGGCTCAGGAGATTAATTGGCTGGTTAAGGTGATCAATATTCTAGCATTTTTCTAACTTTTAATTTTGATATTACCTGTTATGGTAACAAGTGCATCTTTTCAAGATTAGGTCCTAAGAAAGAATCTGAAACTAGAACAAGAGGGTGGCAAGCTGGGATGTGCTTTGCTTCTCACTTACCGCAGTTTAGCAAAGTATTTATATCACAGAGTGCCCCTGAGGTCTCCATGTTCAGGATGTCCCCGTAGCAGCCATGGTACAGGCGAGGATGCAGGTGAGGGTTTATTGAGTGTATGTAGGGGTACGAGCCCCTAGAACTGCCTGGGAGGCGGGATGAGAATTCACATGAAGTGGGGCACAAAATGCTGCTTAAATCATTATAACAAACAGTGCTAAGCTGAAGGAAAGGGCCCTAGTCCCCGTCCTCCCCAATTTGTCCTCCCACCCTTGGCTCATCATCCTTTCCTACTTTGCTCCAATTTTTTTTTTTGTTAGTACAGTACTTAATTCTAAAGTACCAGTGAAAATATTACTAAAATCATTCCTAATATTTCTCACAAATATTGACTGTTGTATTGATCAGAATTAAAATTATTACAGGTAGGTCCAGTACAGTAGTCTAGTGGCAAAAGTCATTGCCTGGTGTGCACCGGAATCCCATGTGGGGCTAGTTTACATCCATAATAAGATAAGAAGACAAAGTGTATCTCATTCCTTGTCCCCATTCTTACAGTATTTTATTTATGTCACTTTACTTCCTTTTTACTTCCTTTCTTTTTCTTTCTCCCTCCCTCCTTTTTTTCTTCCCCCCCCCCTTTTTTTTTTTGTTGTTGTTGTTTGTTTTGTTTTGCCAGGGATGGGGAATTCAGAGAAGAGGAACCAAAAATCTCAGCTCCTTGTGGTCCTTAAACAAAGTTACAAAACAAGGGCTGGAGCTTGTGGCTAGGGTTCTGGGCCCTCCTGTGGTCTGGATGCTGCTGAGCTGTGTGTGTGAGGAGGGAGCGGGGACAAAAGCCTGAGACCTCATCACAAACTGGGAGGCAGGCCCCCAGCAGTCTCCTCCTGGAGAGGTGGAAGTGAGTGGACCTGGCGCCCCACTCCCTGACCCTGGCGCCCCACTCCCTGGCCCTGGAGGGCTACACAGACAGGCAGCAGGTCTTGCTTTCTTCCTTTTCTTCTCTCTCCCTACCCCCCACTTAACACCCTTTCTTACTCGATAGGGCAAGGACTTCATGTTTTTCTCTGCTGTGTCCTCTTTGACACCTGCAACAATTTCTGACTCAAAGGAGACCTTCAATAAACATTTGTTCAACGAATAAATTGATGGATAAAGAAAGAGGAAAGGGGGGGGCTATCTAAATTCCCTGGACTATGCATGTATAAAGACAAGTTCAATGTCCTTTTGCTGGCCATCATCACATGACCTACAGGCCACAGTCATCATAGTGATCTGAGATGCTTATTAAAAATGCAAATCATTGGGCATCTCATACCAGAATCTTTAGGTGTAAGATCAGAAACTCCACATTTTTAACCAACATTCCCAATTGACTTTGCAGTTTGAGAACCATGGCATTAAGTGAGTTGGAATGTGACCACAGACCCTGTACTAGTGGCTCTGGCATCATAAACACAGATCCTTTTTTAACTAGAGTCATGTGTCAGTTATACACAGCTAGCACGGTAACTCATAATTAATCTACTGGCTCTGTGACCCTGCTTCAACGTGGCAGTTTAAAAAGGAGTAAACCCAGCCATGCTTCCAGGCCTTCAACTGCAGGTGACAGGAAATCCTAGCTTTGGGGTAGCCTCTCTTTCCCAAAGTTAGAGTTAAACATTTTAGAAATGATTTCTTTTCAATCATCATTCTACAAAGATAGCTTGAACATTACTTACAATGGCATCTTATTTTTCTTAGGTAAAATTTTGATTTTCTTATAGAAGTTTCCTTATCATCTTGCAACCTATTTCCCTGAGAAATTCCTTCATATATTCTGGTCGCATTGACTTGACTCTGCTATACCAGAGACCCATTTCCTGCATCTGTGCCTCAGTGCCTTTGCTGAAGTCCTGCTTCCCTTCCTGCAGGCGCTTCCCTCCTCCTCTTTGTAAATCACCTTTCTTTAACCTTTGTGTGCCCCGCCACCACCATGAGAGCCTTGCAGATGGGAACACCCCAGCTTGAGTGGAGCTCCTCCTCCTCTACTCCTCCTAGACTAGTACGAGTCTTTCCTGTAAGTGCTCCCTTAACTCTTACCCACTGCTTGGTATTGATCATTTTCAGGTGTCTAGCCTCCCAAGGCGCTCAGCCATATATGTCTTGATAAGATAGCAAGCCTGGTAGGCACATTATTAGACAGGAAGTAAGTAGGCTAATTAATACTTGATTATTTAAAATTTTGCAATGATACTGACTTCTTGGCCAGCTGAATATACATTTAAAAAGCAGTTGACTAGTGGCCTAGCTAATCAGAAGGAGTGCCCACTCTTCCATTGCATGTAATTCATGACGGTGCTAAAGTTTTCATGGATACCCCACAAGCAACATGAAATGTCAGTCAACGACTTACCAATGAGGGCAATAAGTCCCACAAAGATGACAGGGGACAGCATGCTGGCCAGTCTTTATTGCAGAACCTGTTCTGACTTGAAATAAAAACCAGTTAATTTTTTAAAACTTGAGGATTTCTTAAAGGAAATTTACTTTGCTAAAATTAAAAACAAAAAATTAAGCTTCATTTTCAATGCCTATTTTCCAGTTCAAGATAGTATTCTCTATCTCCATTTATGAGTCATTGGATCACTGATTAAACATACTGACCCAACTCATCAAATCCAGTCTCCCACTGACAAGGGTCTCATGCTCCTTGTTATCTGTGTTATCCCACACCTTTCATCCTACTTCTGAAAGTCCTAGTTTTATACTGCAATCTCCCTAGGGAAAAATACAACACAACTTGGCAGCAGAGAACAGAACTTAAATGTTCTATGCTCCATTTCTTGCCCAGTCAACCCTTTCTTGACTTCACTCAGCAAACAGTGTACACATTGTAGAAGATACAAGACTCGGCACTAACCTGGTTTGTAACCTCAGAGAAAAATTGCCCCTCTCTGAGGTCTTCTGTACTTAGCAGCAAGCTGTATGTGAAGCTCTTACAAAGCAGTGATTTTTGTCCTGCAACACAGGTTTAACGACTGGAGAAGCCAATGGCAGGATATCCCTGCACCTTGGTTTCAAGTGAGCCGATCCCAGTGTGGTTCTGCTGCCGTGGAGGAAGCCTTTAAAAGCCAGCATATAGACTCACCTGCCTCCTCTTACCTTCGTCCTGTACCAGTGATTGGTAGAGGAGCTTTATAGATGGCTTTAAACCCTCACTTTAAACCACTGACCTCATTAGACCTGATTATAATAATACTTTGAATGTAGGTGGCCTCTTTAATAAAAGGACTTCAAAGTGTTTACGAACCACTATTAATTAATAAAGCTAATGAACCCCCAGATTCTACTGTAGACATATATTTTATGGATTGCTTCTGGATATCTAAAATTGTGCTAGATAAATAGCTTCTAAATTTGAGAATAGGAAGAGATAAAAAAGATAAATCAACAGGAAATACAAGCAGCTCTCATTCCTGGATTAGTTGTTTACCTGTGAGGCTGGTTCCCCATTCCAGGATCACATGATCCCCAGTCCATGTCACATGATGTCATCCCACTATGCCACATGAACATCACAGGTGAACTTGACACCAATAGCACTTCAGGCCATTAGTAGTGAGTTGAATCAGAAGTGGAGCAGGCAAGACATGAACTGGCACCCATTTGAGATGATGGTGCTGTAAGTGGAGGCCCATTATGCCAAAGCACCAGCCCCAAGAGATCTTTTTGTTGTTTTTAAGATTTATGTATTTGTAGACTGGTATTATAGTTCAATGGGTTAGGGCTAAAATCCCCTATAAGTGGATTCAAGTCTCAACTACTCTGCTTCTGATCTAGTTCCCAGCTAGTGAGCATGAGAAAGCAAAAGAAGATGGCCCAACTCTTGGGTCTACCATTCATGTAGAAGACCTGAATGAAGCTCCTGACTCCAGGTTTTGACCAGCACAACCCCAGCCATTGCAGCCATTTGGAGAGAGAGCCAGAGAATGGAAGATCTCTCTCTAATTTGTCTTTCAAATAAATAGAATACATCTTAAAAAGAAAAAAGTGAGCCTGAACCCTTTATACCTATGTAATCTTGCTTCTCTTACCATGTAATCCCACCACATGATGCCATTCACTAGGTTTTTGTTTTCTAAGGATTTATTTATTTATTGAAAGACAGAGTTATATATATAGAGAGAGATAAAAAGAGAAAGAGAGATCCTTCATCTTCTGTTTCACTATGCAAACGACCATAATATCCAGGGCTGGGCTGGGCTGGAGGCAGGAGCCTGGGGCTTCATCTTAGTCTCTTATGTGGGTGCCAAGTGTCCAAGCACTGGAACTTCTGCTGCTGCTTTCCCAGGCACAGTGTCCCTGGTCCCAACCATTCACCATTTTTTGAGGAAACCAGAGGGCCTTTACCAAAGGCCACCAAGATGGGTTCAGTCTTGAACTTTTAGCCTCCAAAACTATGAATTCAATAAATTCCTTTTAAAGTATCTGGCCTCATGTATTGTGCCATTAGAAAGCAAAATAATCATGGACCCATATTGCTGTCACCTCAGATATAATGAAAGGGTATAGATTTTGGAATCTTAGAGAGATCTGATTTAAATCCTTACTCTGCTCATTATGTCATCTTTGAGATGCAGCTTCAGTTCTCTTGGTCTCAGCTTTCCCACCTCTAAAAGCAGGCTGGACAGAAGGTAGTGCTAGGACACAAGGCAGTACAATAAGCTTCGATGCCAGTGTGGTCTCCTAGGATCTGGACTTTGTTTAGTTGCTGCTGGACTCGTTGCCTGTGTTTCCCATTTCTGGCTTGGTGCCCTCACCGGCTTTGTGGAAGGATTGTGTAAAATCCAAAAAACTTATCATGATTGAGGAAAGATCCAGGGCAGACTTCCTCCATCTCTGGGAAATATGCCCGTGCATCTGTTTCAAATGTCCCTTCCACTATTTCCCTTTTTTTTTTTTTTTTAATATTGATGTACTTATTTGAAAGGCAGAGTTGCAGAGAGAAACGGAGATATCTTCTATCCACCAGTTTACTCCCCATGATGGCCATGGCTGGGACAGTCCAAAGCCAATAAGTAGTAGCTTTCTCCAGGTTTCCCATATGGGTGAAGAAGCCCAAGCATTTGTACCATCATCTGATACTTTCCAAAACATAATTGCAGGGAGTTGGATTGGAAGTGGAGCAGCTGGGACTCAAACTGGCACACTTTTAGTGGCTTAACTCACAACTCACAATACCATACTGCTGGCCATTTCCCATTTTGGAGAATGGACAATCTACCTCCTCTCCAGTGCCAGGATACAATATGGGCAGTGGTTCCTGTCGCTGCTCCACTTCCCATCCAGTTTCCTGTTCGTAGCCTGGAAAGCAATTGAGGATGGGCCAAAGCCTTGGGACCTTGCACCCATGTGGAAGACCCAGAAGAAGCTCCTGGCTCCTGGCTTCGGATCATCTCAGCTCTGGCCGTTGAGGCCATTGGGGAGTGATCTAGTGGGTGGAATATCTTTCTCTCTGTGTCTCCTTTGTAAATATACTTTTTCAATAAAAACAATTTTTTAAAAAAGATTTTTAAAATACAAATAAAAATATCTTTCTAGAAAAATCTCACTTCCCTATTGTGGGCTAGCTTCTGGTAACCCTGGAGGGGCCTTTAGATGCCTCTGCCTTGGGAGAGCTGCAGCTGAAGGGTTCTAGAGGCACTCCGTGTTAGGAGGAGATAAGTGACAGTGGAGACCCAAGCACTGTCCATGAAGTAGGGTCCTTGACAGCCTTCTGAAATTATACGCCATAAGAAGCTGCCCATGCTCTCTGGGACTGGCATCCTCAAGAATTAAAGGAGAGGGGCCCAGCACGCTGGCCTAGCAGCCAAAGTCCTCACCTTGAACACGCCAGGATCCCATTTGGCCACTGGTTCTAATCCCGGCAGCTCCACTTCCCATCCAGCTCCCTGCTTGTGGCCTGAAAAAGCAGTCAAGGATGGCCCAGTGCTTTGGGACCCTGCACCTGCATGGGAGACCAGGAAGAAGTTCTGGCTTCTGGCTTCGGATCGGCACAGCACCAGCCATGCGGTCACTTGGGGAGTGAATCATCGGACAGAAGATCTTCCTCTCTGTTTCTCCTCCTCTCTGTATATCTGACTTTGTAATAAAAATAAATAAATCTTAAAAAAAAAAAAAAAGAATCAAAGGCGGACAGTATCTTGAGCCTCCTCAGTCCCCTCTCCTTTATCCCTGTCCACCATTCTGTGATGACAGAGACTGAATGCTATCCACCATGTCATCATTTCCTAACCCAAACAAAGCTCTCCTTGCTCAGCTAAGGAGGATGACCGTAGGCAACTCATACTTCTGAGCCTTAATTTTCCTCATCTGTAAACTGGAGATGATAATGCCCCACAACTTTGTTTTGAAAATAAAAATAAATTACACACGTGAAAACATGTTACAAGCAGCAGTGCCTCATGCAGATCCAAGTTATTATCATCTTGTGGCTGTACTCATGTCCTGATGGTTTAGCTCCTTGTTGATTTATTCCTTTATTTGTGAGCTCCAAAAAACTGACTTGAGTTGCTGAGTATATGGGGCAAAAAATAGGCATGGAACCTCTCTTCAGCCCTAATGGCTGTGGCAGAGCAAGCAAGGGCTCCTGCTTGCACTCTCCAGCCTGCCCAGTGTGACTGTAGGGAGAGCAGGGTCAGAAATGGCCACGCAGGAAGCAGCAGCCCAAGCACTTGCTGCACAGCCTAGAAGCCCACTGAAGAAGAACGCCTAAGGATGACCTCAAAGGCAGTAGGGGAGCCTCCTTCGAATTACGCTAAAAGTTCAGCTCAATCCCTGAACAGTTTCTTTTTGTGTGTGTGTGAAAGTGTTTGTCTACTTGTTTGAAACGCAGAGCTACAAAGGGAGGGGGAAACAGAAGCGAGGGATCTTGCATCTAATGGTTCACTGCCCAGATGGCTGCAAGAACTGGAGCTGAGTCAGGCCGAGGCAGGAGTCTAAAACTCCATCCAGTCTCACACATGGGTGCAGGGACCCAAGCATTTGGGCCATGTTTCCCAGGAACATTAGAAAGGGGCTGGATCTGAACTAGAGCAGCTGGGATTTGAACCAATGCCCATATGGAGGACTCCAGTGTCTCATGCAGCAGTTTGATCAACTATACCACGATGCCAGCCTCCAATCCCTGAACATTTCAATGCCAGGTTTGAACAACTGAGTGTTTTTCTTGTCTTGGGCTTAATCTACTATATGATAGGTAAAATAACTAGATAATATATACGTAAAATTTCCTAACAGGCTGAAACAGCCACTTACATGATTACATTACTGGTCTCCCAATATCATATTTGACCAACATTTCAGAAAAGAAGATAAAAAATTATTGTTACTGGGCAATAAAGCTTATGAAAATATTGCTGAACTTCATTAGAAATCATGGAAGTGCAAATTTAAG